AAAACGCTGGGCGCCAATGACTTACACCTGTAATCCTTGTAATCCTTGCTACTCAGGAGGCTGAGAGCTGAGGATTGCCGTTTGACGCCAGCCCAGGTAGGAAAGTCCGTGAGACTCTTATCTCCAATAAACCACCAGAAAACCAGAAGTGGCACTGTGGCTCAAGTGGTAGAGCGCTAGCCTTGAGCTGAAGAGCTCAGATACAACACCCAGGCGCAGAGTTCAAGCCCATGACCACCACCACTAACAACAACAACAAAAAGCCCACTAAAGTGGGGGGAAACAACTAGTTGAAAATTTTCTAATACTTTCAGTATAGATGGCCTGAATGTCCCAGCAGAGAAGCTGGGTGTGGCCCGCTTCATGAACATGAGTGGCTCTCTGCAGATGGCATTGATAGAGGTACCATCAGCAAGGGAAGGACTAGGAGTAACCTTCAGAGCTAGTGGAAAAATGAAGGAAAGGCAACTGCTCCACTGAGGGAGAAATGAAGTCTGCACAGAGAGCTCCATGCAGAGAATGACCTTGCCTGCCAGCAGCAGAGCTGAGCACACACTTCTTGGAAGGTGATGGAGAGACTGTGATATGCCTGCTTCTTTGCTCACTGACCTTCCCTGTTGCCTCCTTAGGCCCCTAGCCTCTTGGAACAGTTCATGAGCTTTCCCAAGGTTCCCTTGACCTCGCTTGAGGTAGAATTCACTTGTTTCTGGGGATCTATCACTGTGAAGCTGAAGAAACTCTGCATGCTGCCTTAATGTATGCAGCCATCTCGAGAACCGTGTTCTCGTTAGACCCCAGGGCTGCTTGTCACAGTGGCAGAAGCTTAAAAATTCTGAAACTTCAAAATGGTGTTCAGAAATCTTACAATGATGAAGAGAACAAGCAATTGACCTCCCGGGCTCTTCCGCCGCCTCTCCTCAAACTTTTCTTTGAAATGTGGCATGTCTACCACAGTCATGTATCATGCTGACCCTACAGAAGAGACAGATTCAACACAACCCTGTCCTTGGCTCTGAAGGCATGGGAATGGCATCAGGCAGAGCTACATGAACCATACCAGCAGAGAGGTATGAATGAAGTGCTGATTTTCAGACTGGAAAGGCCATGAAAGGCTTCATGAATGACTGGGACTGAGAGATGTTTCACCTTCCTATAAGTCGGAGTGAGGCAGGAATTCCAGAGGAAGGAGCAGTGTGATTGTATCCATGGGAGCAAGGACAGAGCAAAACAAGCCCTAAAGGGAACAAGACAAGAAAATCACAGAAAATGGGCCTGGAGAGATCCACAGTGACGATAAATACAAATACCAGTTAGAGTTATTGAATTCTGAAGGCCCTGGACAAGGCCCCGGTAGATTTCCACACTCTAGCTAATTATCTCAATGCCTCTGCTATTGATAGAAGAGGATTGCCTAATTCTTGTGGTGGTTTCAACTCAACACTGCAACACAGCAGTGTGGAGAAGGCACTCTATGGAATAAAGTCACATTTTGTGTCTTTAAGAGACAATGGAAAAAGAGCAAAGAGATGAGACAGACACTTAGAACCACAGTGCACCATATGGATGTTGATACCAGTGTCACAAGAGTCTTGACAAAAGATTCTGATCCTCCTGGAGGGAGCCTACAAACTTCTCAAGGATGGTGACGAGGCCTTCTTCATCTCTGCATGGCCTGGCTCTTACTGCCAAACATATGGTAGACATTCATTAGGTGAATGGTGCACATATGAATGAAGAGCTCATGTGTTTACATGAGCTCTTCTGCCATTCATCCTCTGCCCAGGATGTCTGTTACAAGTTCACCCAGAACTGCTTAACTTTGGTTCATATTGTTCCGCTCTTCTCCCACCCATGTTTTGCTTACCTCAGTCCTACCATCCTGACATCAGCAGCCCTCACTGTCTTCCTGGCTCTGATTCTGTCCGTGATGACAGAGTCTGTGCTGCATATTTTGAGTGTCTGCTATTCCTTGAAGCTGCTTCCTATGTACTAGTCCAGCAAGCTCCCTCCCTAAATCAGGGCAAAAGCTGACATCCCAGGGTGTCATGCATAGAGCTGGTGTTGTGTACAGTCACAAAGAGCCTGGATAATGTAATCTAGTAAGTGACAATTATGCTGTCTGAAAAATATAGCCATAGAAGTCCAAACCCAGAGCTCTCTATCTCTGAGAACAGAAGAAAAGTATATAGCCTGTCCTACCACATATGAGATGGATGCATGTGAAATTAACCCCCCTGAACTGGGTTGCCAGGTGTCCTCCTCCTCTGAAAAATCCTTAAATACAGAGCTGGCCATCTGTCCAGGAGCTGACGAGCTGCAGGCTGCAAGATGAGCAGTGGCAGCTTCTGCCCTTGCTGTCCTTGTCAGAGTTATAGAATGTTTTGTGGGGAAAGGCGTCTTAGAGGAACTGTTGCTTTCCCTGCTGCTTTGTGATCTCCAGATGTAGCAAATAAAGTTGAGGGAGATTCTCAGACTGCCGATAGATGGTTATTCCTGTATAAAGAAATAAGGTAGATTCTTGGGCTGGGAAAGTGGTAACTTTACTTGCCTTGCATGCAGGAGGTCCTGGGTTCAATTCCTCAGCGCCATATAAACAGAAAAAGCCAGAAGTGGCACTGTGGCTCAAGTGGTAGAGCTGAAGAGCTCAGGGACAGTGCCCAGGACCAGAGTTCAAGCCCGACGACCGACAGAGGAAAAAAAAAAGTGGCAGAGCTCAAGCCTTGAGAGAAAAAGCTTAGGACAGCACCCAAGTCCTGAGTTTAAGCCCCATGACCAACAAAACAAAAACAAACTTAGATATAACTAAGAAATAAGGTAGATTCTCATTACCATACAGTTCATTTTCCTGAGAATTATGTATTATTCCATGGTCACACAGCGACCCTCAAATCTTTTCAACTACATGGAGTAAAAGGCTGATACAGCACCTTCTGCATTAAACTATATTACCCTTACAATGATTAATGCTTCCTGCAGTGATTAATACTGCTGCCCTAACTAGATTGTGTGAGGTGGGTGTCAAGCCCAATTTTATCTCTAGGATCTCCTGATAGAAGTGCTCAATACACACATGAATAACAACTAACTTCACATAATAATTTGCAAGTATTTTCCTCATACATTTCTTAATTTAATTCTCATAATGCCCTTTGAAGTAGGTACTAACATTAACTCCCATGAGGCACCAGTAGCTCAGGCCTGCAATCCTAGCTAGGAAGGAAGCTGGGGCAGGAGAGCCTGTGAGACTCTTATCTCCAGTTAATCATAGAAAAAGCTGGAAGTGGACCTGTGGGCTCAAGTGGTAGAGTGCTAGCCTTAAGCAAAAAGAAGTTATAGGGATGTGGCCCAGGCCCTGAGTTCAAGCCCCAGGACCAGCTCCAAAAGATAAAATAAAGTAACCCAAACTCCCACTTTCCAGATAAGGAACCTTAGCTCAGAGACATTAAGTGGTATACCCAAGATCAAACAGCTAGTAAGGGAGAAATCTTTCTTGTGTGCTTTGAGCTATATGGCCTTGGGGGTTGGAGAAGGAATATCTACCCAGTCTTTGCATGCCTGAGAGAAGTACCAGCTCAGTCCCCACCCTCCACACTAACGTTATCACCTGATAATATTAAGTAGAAATGGATGAATGAATGCAGATAGTGGCTCCGCGTAGAATCAGTTGAGAGCAAACAACTCAAAGGAAAGAGACTATTTCAGGTCTTTCATCCGGATGCAAGGCACTGGAGACTACTAGTCTTCAGGGAGCTGACAGTCCATTTCAAGGGACAAATGTAAAGCAACTAGTATTACAGTTCGTGTCGTGATTTTGTTACACGACACTGAAGATGTAGCAGGAGCTCTACTCTGGCCCAAGAGCGCTTTGCGCTCAGGGTAGGAAGGTTGGCCGCTTGTAGTCTGGGGAAGATACATTTCATTAGGCAGAACCTCCCAAAAGAAGTCAAGGCAAACTGACAGGGTAGAGCAGGACAGAGACTGCACACAAACAAAACTTCACAAAGGGGACTGCGAGCGTCCAGTCCCGCTGTCTGGGTGCCTACCTGCCAAAGGAAAGCGGGAATGGGGCAGAACAGCAAGAAGGAGCAAGAGCCCAGTTCACCTAAGCAGAGGAGGGAGAGAGGTGTGGTAGCCTGCGGCCGGCGCCGACCGCGGCCGAAAGGGTTAGTTAAGGGGGCGGTCCAGAGCGGGTCCCGTCGGCCCCGCCCACCGGAGGGAGGGGGCGGAGCCTCTCCCAGTGCGCCCTACGATTGGTCGCAGGAAAGGCGTTACGCTAGGACCGTACCAACGGTCGGGGGCGGCGGAAGCGGAGGGTGGGTGTGGGACCGCCGGCGCTGCGTGGGGAGAGGTGGCCGGGGAATGGCAGGGTCGGGGGTGGGCGGGAGCCGCAGCGGCGGCGGCGGCGGCGGCGGCTGGGGGCGGTGAGCAGCGGGGGGCTGCCCCTCCCCGGAGGCGGCGGGGGCGGCCGCGGCCGCGCCGTACCGCTCCGTGCGGGCGGCCATGGAGCGCGCTTAGGGCCCGACAGGTGAGCGGCGTGGGGCGGGGAAGGGCGCGCGACCCCGCTCCGGGCGGGAAAGTGCGGGCGGGGCGAGGTGCGTGGCGCGCGGCGGCCGCCGAGGGGCGGGGCCCCTCCCTGAGGGGCCGGGCGCCCGGAGCCGGCCGGGCCGGGGCCCCGCGGCTGCCCGGAGGGAGAGTGGCCGGCCCTGCGGGCGGTCCTCGCCGGAGGGACGCGGCCTCGCCGCGTAGGTGCGGGCCTTACCTGAGGACGGGCTGGGCGCGGGCGGGCGGTCCCCCGGGGCAGCCGGCCGCGGTGCCGCCCTCGGGTCCTGCCGAGTGCCGGCGGCGGCGGCCCGGGAGGAGCCGCCTCGTGGCCGAGTGACCTGCAGGCCCGAGGCCAGGGGAAGGGGCTTCGGGGCCCCGCGGTGTCCTCGGGGGCCGGGCCCGCGCTCGCGCCGGGGCGCAACTTAAGGAAACCATATGGTAGTCCAGAGGGGGTTGCGCCGGGGAATCGCATTTCCGGGTGTGATGGTCCTCGGTGAAGCGAACCCAGACGCCGCCGTTCATGATCCGTGTGGAGCCGTTGTCAAGCCGTGTCCTTGATTCGTTTTAGTCAGGTTCCTGCGACCTACCAGCCAGGCTCCCGAGGAGAGGAGAGAGAAGTGGAGGGGACCGAGCGTGGGGGGTCATCACACAGTTAGGCATTTCATAGGACTTACCCATCATTGGGATGAGTAAACGACTTCATCATCTGGGAACAGGAGAGATGCTTAATATTGCCACATGTAGGACCAGGTAAGGGACATCTTCACGCAGCCAGCTTACCTCTAGAGGTTTATTTCTCACATTGGAAAGAAGACAGATAAGTTCTTTGAGCTATTAAAAGACTTCATAAAATAATCTGTAAGCAGGTAGAGTTAAGATTGATACTTATTAAGAATGCCTATTCTTGTAAATTCACGCTTGGATTTCACAGGGGTTTTTGGTTTGTTTTTTAAATCTCTAGTGACTTTAGTGTGTTTCAGTGTTACTAAGATTTCCTTGAGTTTATACAGAACCTTTGAGCTAAACTGAGAGTACTTCCACCTGTATTATTTATCATCCAGACAAGTCCTTGAAAAACTGAGGTTCATTGGCTGAAGATGCTGTTGTGTAGACTCAGAATCAGTCTATGGTGGATTTTAAATTATTGTATTAAATTAATAACAGGCAAAATTAGTGAAGATGTTGGACTTTGGGTTCTCAGGCCATCCGGTGGAATCAGGCAACAAGATGCCCTTCCGTCCACCTTTGACGTGAGTAGTGAAAGAGCAAGTAGTTCAGAGTCCCAGCCTCACTTATACTAAAGTACACTGATAAGATTGGATGGAGGTAAAGGATGTTTAGGAAATAGAATTCTGGCGGCTCAGGAGCCTGAGATCTAAGGATCCTGGCTAAATGCCAGCCCAGGCAGAAAAGTCTACAATTAGCCATAAGAAAGCCAAAGTGGAGCTGTGGTTCAAGTGGTAAAGCACTAGTCTTGAGTGAAAAAGTTAAGGGATATTATCAAAAAGGGGGATGGGATTTGAGCTTTCACAGCTTTCTTATGAAAATGTGAGGTCAGTTTGTTTCTTTACATCTGGTAAGAAATGCTGCATTTAGTTGCAAGAATGAAAACTTAAAAACACATACCTGTGTATGTGTTTTTTTTGTTTCCAAAAGGATTAGGAAACAAACGTCACTATTTCATCATTAATTTTCATAATCCTTTATGTCATTGAATTTATCCTGATAAGTCATGGCTTTTAGTTTTCATGTATAGATTCTAACTCTCACAGCTTTAAAGCTTCTGTTTTTTTTTTTTGGGGGGGGGTCCGGTCGTGGGGCCTGAACCCTGGGCCTGGGCACTGTCCCTCAGCTCTTCAGCTCAAGGCTAGCGCTTTACCACTGTGAGCCACAGCGCCACTTTCCGGCTTTTTTCATTTTTGCTTATGTGGTGCTGAGGAATCGAACCCAGGGCCTCAGGCATGCAAGGCAAGCGCTTCTACCACTGAGCCAACTTCCCAGCCCAAAGCTTCTGTTTTTTATTGCTTCTGAACTTTGAATTCCTAGACAAAATGTTATTTCCTTTCAGGACAGATATCACCTTTCTATACTTTGTGTTAATATCACTTCAGTGGTCTGATACTTCAGCTCTTAAACTGATAACCCAAATAGCTACTACAGTGGTTGGTTGTCTCTTGGTGGTAGCTGCAATTTTGTAATAGAAGCAGAAAGCTTCTGTTTATATGCTTGCCATTGCAAACAATAAAAAGGAAGCAGCCTTCTAAACCTAGATAATCAGGTCACTCTGGGATTAAATTCCAGGTAATTTTGTGGTTTGGAGTAGGAAGCACAGTTATAATGAACTCCTACAGTTCGTTATAGTACTTAGGGCCTAATCGTGCCTAGTACATGGTATATGTGCAGTAGATATTTGTTGGTGGAATCCATAAATGAAAAAGAATAAGGAAAGCAAATATTCTAATGCTAAATTATTTAGTTCCTCTTTTGATAAAAAAAAAGCCAAGAAAATGTATTTCAGACTCCTGTTGTAAATATGCTGTTGAGGTGGGTTTGTGTAAAGGGTGCTATCTGCTGGTGCTACTTTGAGATTCAGTACTATGATTGTATGGTAGTTTAGCCAAGTCAGAGTTAGCTGAACAACCTTCCTCCAGCCATTGTTCTGGCTAGGTTAACAATTGGGTTGCAGTCAATGCTTTTGCTTTAATGGAACTTAGAGCTCTTGGTAATGATCATGTAGGCATCATTGACTTTAACCATCCTCTTATCTTTCCTGTTGAGAATGAAAAAGGGGAGTTATCCCTCCCTCAGGTGTTTTCTCCAGCAGCCACCTGTACACTTTTTCCTTTCCTTTAGCTGCCACTTTGTGACTTAAGAATTTATTATTGTGCTCAGGATTCAGGGGGAAAAAAAGTCCTTGCTTGGCTACTTAAACCAGCTTTTTTTTTGAAACCAGCTTTTGATTAACTTAAGATGCCAGTGTAACAGCTAGAACTGCCTAAAGATAATATAACGCAAAGATCTTCTAATTTGGTGCTTCTTACCAAAAACAGAAGGAAGAAATGCCTGTCTTTGGATGTAAGGAATCTTAGGAGTGCATTTGTTCTCTCAGGGTGATAGAAGAAGTAGCAATGGATGCAAGGCCTGTACTGCAGGGCAAGGTAACAAGCCCTTTAGAGGAGAGGATGCTACTTTGGGTACATGATATGAGGAGGTCAAAGAATATGAAATTATGAATGTGTAAAGGAGAAAGAACCACATATAGGATGTAGAAGAAAGCTCATTATTCCATGCTTTCAGTTGTTGACTTCTGCTCTGTATGTGCAGCCATGTTTCTTTTATCTTATGTTGAGAAATAAGTTATTTTAGCTTATTTTAGCTATACTGTTTTGTAGAAAATTTCTTGCAATATGCCATATGTTATTTCTTTTTAACAATAGTTTATATTTTTGTTATCTCAAAATGACTCCTAAGGTCTCTTACTAATTCAGTAGGAGGCTTCAAGGTGATTGAAGTAATAGTTTGTTTTCCCTCTCTGCTTTTCTGAGTTATTGGATCTGTTTTTTTATTTGTTTTTGGTTGGTCATGAGCTTGAACTCAGGGCCTGGGTGCTGTCCCTGAGCTGTTTTGCTCAAGGCTGGCACTCTACCACTTTGAGCCACAGCTCTACTTCCAGTTTTCTGGTGGTTAATTGTAGATCAGAGTCTCACAGCCTTTACTGCCAGGACTGATTTCAAACCTCATTCCTCAGATCTCAGCCTCCTGAGTATATAGGATTCCAGGTATTAACTACCAACACTCAGCTAGATATTTTGTTAATAGCTTGCCTCCTCTTTCAGGGGTGGGGAAGATGTGTACCTTCTGGCCTTTTATGGCATAGAAACCCAGATGACTCCCTTCCTGAAAGTGAGTGTAAAATAGAGAAATAGGCTAAATGAGATTCTGTAAACGCTCCTTCCAGAATTAGTATATTAACCTTGTAACTATTGTTTGGTTTCCAAAGGATTATTTTATTCATTTCTTGTTTCTTATCCTTGGCTTAAATTGTGAACTTGCACCCTTACAGATACATTCAAGTAGTAATTCTGATTCCTGTTTCAGAAACCATTGTCAGTAATACTTGAAGATCTGGTTTCAGCCCTGCCTTGTATTATTCTTGGGCAACATCATATTGGATTCTCTCCATTCTTCTGTTAGCATTTCCAGATTATCTTACTCACAGTCCCAGCCAGCATCAGGAACCAAATTAGCAACATCAATAGCCTAGAAAGGCAAAAGTAAGGTGTATAGAAGCAATCGCTTCAGCAATTTAAAATTGAATGTATAAAGTTGGTGAATGTATTAGACACCTCTATGTTTTTTGCTGTTCTGTATCTTTGAGTTGTATATTTCAGGACTTCCCCATGTATAAAAAAGAGGCTGTCTGAGCTGGGAAGGTGGCTCAGTGGTAGAGCGCTTGCCTTGCATGCCTGAGGCCCTGGGTTCAATTCCTCAGCACCACATAAGCAGAAAAAAAGCCGGAAGTGGTGCTGTGGCTCAAGTGGTAGAGCGCTAGCCTTGAGCTGAAGAGCTGAGGGACAGCGCCCAGGCCCAGAGTTGAGGCCCCATGACCGGAACCTCCCCCCCCTCCCCCCCCCCGAAAAAAGAGGCTGTCTTTAAACTGAAGAATTGCTAGTTCAGAAGAAATAATCATAAAATTTTTCTCCTTTGTTACTTCTGTTATTCAAGAAACACAGAGTACCTCTCATATGCCCTGCACTGTGTTCCTTTTGGAAGTACAAAGTGAGTAAAGCATATCCCTTGTCTCAAGGAACTCACAGTATAGAAGAGCCATATAGGATGTGGGGGGGGGGGAATGGTAGGGGGGAAGGAGAGAGAAGAGGGGGGAGGGGATCATATAAACAAAGTGATGCCTGGAACCACACAGCTATCCTTTTAGCATAGACCTGTTTGAGGTTCTATTATTTCTGAAGATCATTTTATATGGTCTGTCAACTCGGCATGACCCTTAGAACATAAGGTTAAAGATTGAGGTGCTATATAACTGGGCTTGGTGATACACCTGTAGTCAGGCAGAAAGATTGCTTCAGCCCAGATTCAAGGTTAGCCTGGACAACAAAGAAAGAACCTTATCTTAATATTTTTTAGGTACTGTTGTCACACAAAGCTCATATATCTTTTGAAGAACTGCAGTGAATTGAACATTTAAGATAGAAAACATATGAAAAGCTGGAGGAAAACATTTAACATTTCATATTCGTATAATATGGCACGAATTAACTTTCTATGATAAGAACTATATCTACTGACAGTTGAGTGCCAAAATACCTACCATGTAGGAAGGGAGCTTCAGTATACCTGGCTCATTTAAAGCAGAACGCAAATTCTTATTTCTTCTGAGTATCTACATCACTGAACACTACCCATCTTTGGTTTTAGAACAGAGTTTGCTAGCAGTATCTGCTATTTATTTTTCTCTTCAGTTTTCAAGGAAGATGATTAGAAGATTGTCCTGAATTAATGTTTAAATGGAACATGTTGCAGGGATTTTTAAAAATTCTTTCAAAGAAGGAACTATTAGTTGCCTATTCCATTTTTATTCTTATACCCAGGAGGAAAGACTGCCTTAATATTTCATTAATGCCTGGTGATTGTTTTTAGTTGATTTCCTTCACGGGGAACTATTGGAGATTTTTATATAAAAGATTCTTTATAGAAACACTATGAATAATTTTTATTTTTTTTTTGTCGGTCATGGGGCTTGATCTCTGGGCCTGAGTGCTGTCCCTCAGCTCTTCAGTTCAAGGCGAGCGCTCTACCACTTGGGCCACAGCGCCACTTCCCATTTTCTGGTGGTTTATTGGAGATAAGAGTTTCACGGACTTTCCTGCCCGGGCTGGCTTTGAACTGTGATCCTCAGATCTCAGCCTCCTGAGTAGCTAGGATTACAGGCGTGAGCCACCAGCGCCCAGCTTGAATAAATTTTTTAGTGGTAATAAAAACGAAAGTCTAGCACTGAGACTAATTAGAACTATATGGAATTTTATTTTTCATATCTATAGCTTTAAGGTACTTTCTTTTTTTTTTTGCTTTAAGGTACTTTCAAGGCTTATTTTGAGAGCTTTATATAAACTTGTCATTTTTAAAACAAAACTAGTGTGAAAGGCATTTTATTTAGCTTTGTGTATGTGCGCACGTGCGTGTGCATGTGTGTGTGAAGCAGATTAACTTCATGCTTCCCATCTGTCTCAAGTACAGTGGGTATGGTAGAATTGAACTTTATAGAGAAGAGAAACAGGTTAAATTGTCTATATAGACTCCCAATATTCTGCCTCAAATTGTACTCCTCCTGAAGATAATTATTTAAAAATCTCATCTCAAATTTGGGGAAGGATTTGGTTCAGGGCTGTAAGACTGCTAGCAACTACTCCACTACTAGTAATGGAGTTATGCAATTGAGAATACAAAGTTATGGGACGTTGACTCCAGTGAGAGTTATTTTCTTTGTCATTCTTTTAGCAAGTCATCTTTGGGTTTTTGACGTAGTAGTAATAGGTAACAAGCAATCCTGTAGGTCTTCTAGGCATTAATTTTAGCACAATATTCATGGTAATCTTACTCATTTTTAATTTTTAATACTCATATTAGGTAGAAGTGATCTTGTTTTTTCATATGTGGAAATTGAGGATGTCTCATTTCCTAGTTCCACATAATATAGAAAAACAAGTGTTTAGGCCCAGGATTCTGAATGCTGAGCATGTATCTCTGAACCCTTGTTACAAAGAGCTTATATTTGTAATCAGAAGAAGTAAGAAGCTGTTTCTTAAGTGGAGAATTAACAGAGAAAGGAAAAATGCCAATAGAAGCCTATTTATCATATTTGATATTTTAAATTTTAGTTAAAAATTGGCATTTATAGACAAAAATGAGACTGTTGCTTGGCAAGCAGCAAGTGTGGGCTAATTTTCTAGGGAACTTGGCATTTATTCAGGTAATAAACAGTTGATGCCATTTGGTATTAGAGGTTTTGACTTTCTGAAAGGAAGTATACAATGCTAAGTAAAAAGATTTCTGAATTCTTTTGATTTTACTTCTAAATACTGCCATTAGTTAAAAGGAGAGACTGCTTTTATTTCTAAGGAACAAAGGGTATAAATTCCTAACAGTTAAATAATAATATGGCACACTTTAGTTATTACTACCAGTTAAAAAGACAAAGAGTATAGGCTTAGTTCAGGATGAAAGTGTGTATCATTCCATCTCTTCCCCCACCCCCCCAAAAAAAGAAAAAAAAGATTGTCATTTTTGCTATTGTTTATGCTTTGCCTAAAGTATAAAGGTTAGGCATTATAAACTGGATATACATAGTTGTGTGAGTAGGTGAGGATAGCTTTGATTGCTCTGCATAAGTTTTAGTAGTGTTCTAAAATATGTAAATTGATATGTAAAATATCTCCTCAAAACTTAGCATTGGAATCTGGGCACTGGTGTCTCATGCCTGTAATCCTAGCTATTTAGGAGGCTGAGATCTGAGGATCACAGTTCAAAGCCAGCCTGGGCAGGAAAGATATCTCCTTTAACCACTAGAAAACTAGAAATGGTACTGTGGCTCAAAGTAGAGACAACACTAGGCTTGAGCAAAAGAGCTCAGAGACAATGCCCAGTCCCTGAGTTCAAGCCCCAAGACCAACCAAAAAAAATTTAGCATTGGTGACTTGGTCCCCAGTACAGAGGGTTTTTTGAGAAAGGACTAGATCATGACAACACTGATTGTCATACCCAAAAAAAATCCAGTTGAAAATCTGTTTCTTGTTTCTCTTAGGAGACTCTTTATGTGTCTTCCTAAATGTTAATAATGGCAGAAAATAATGAAAATTATATATAACTGTAAACTCCTCCATAGAAAAAGCATTTACAAACAGGACCTAACAGTTTATTAAGTCTTTTTTGTTGTTGTTGTTGATTTAGAGCTTGAACTCTGGGACTATGTGCTGTCCCTAAGCTCTTCAGCTCAAGCTCCTACCACTTGAGCTACAGTGCCACTTCCCGTTTTCTGGTGGTTAATTGGAGAGGAGTCTCACGGACTTTCCTTCCGGGGCCAGCTTTATACCGTGATCCCCAGATCTCAGCCTCCTGAGTAGCTAGGATTACAGTCATGACCCACCTCGCCCCGCTGATTCAGTCTTTATGCTGAGTGATTAATGTTTACTCCCTGGCAGAATTGTTTCAGTCATGTGATTCATTTCACTGTGTTTGCCTCATTGATATATTTAGTGTCCTCAAAAGAGTTGATAATGATCAAAAGAATAGATAATATTGTACAAGTATTCCCAAAATATAATTACTTAAGACAATCATTTGTTTTTTCTTATAATTGAGTCCAGGTTACCTGGACTCAAGTGGTTGTTTTTGCCCACATGGTGTGGTCAGGGAACTCAGCTCATATTTGAATGTCCTTAATAGTTGCCCTTCTCTGCCTGGTACTTCAGCTAAGGTGGCCATGATAGCAAAGTGCTAGCCAGGCCTCTCTCTGAAGGTCACTCATTTTAGTGACCCCCCCTCATTTAGTGTAGCCCCCTAAGCCTAGTGGCTAGATAACAAAAGATTGAAAATGGAAGCTGCCAAAAGATCAAAAATGGAGGGAAAAAGACTTCATCTTTTGATGAAAGGAATTATTGATGTTTATCTTTGTAGATAGTCAAAGGTCTTAAAATCTTACCTCCCCCTTTTGTACTTGCCAAGTCTTCAGTTTTGCTGAAACCAACAATTAATAAAGAAATTGGGAAAAAAGGGCTCTTGTAGCTCCTACTGAGGAGAGAAGTCAGAGAGGTTGCATGATTAAGCATGATTACATACTAATTATAATCTCCACCCTTGCCACAAAACCCCTCTGTCTTATGCATGAGATGTTTGTAACTGAGCATATATTTGCCTTGTGGCACTCTACAATCACAAGACATGTTACACTCCATTTATGTGGGAAGATTCTGATTTAGCCACTAAATTGGAAACAAAAAGTGAAACATTTGTTTACTTTCATGGTAAGTTTTACTTTTCATCCTTGTAAATACAAGTTGGGATTTCTCTCTGTAACCTCAGAATTATTAGTGTGAAGTTGTCCATCAGAAGAAGGTTCAAAGGACTTAGTTATTAATGACACTTAGTGTCTCATTATTGACTTATAAGGACCTCACATAAAGTAGTCAGTGTTGGTGCCAGTTATTCTCATTAGCTGCAACATATGTAAATTTTATCAGATGATTTACAGCCTTTTCACTAACATTTTTTTGTATATGTTCTTCTAGCATCAGCCAGATTCTTAAAGAGGACTTTTTACCAATATCTTTTTTTTCTGTGTAATCTACATATATACCCAGAAAGTGCTTTATATAAGTGTATCCAGTTATCACAGACATGGAGTGATGGTTCTGGAAAGGTGATGCTCATGGTGGTAGTAGTGTTGGTTGTGAGTGATTTGAAGTAAAGGAAATAAGCCTGTTGAGCAAGCCCCTCACAGCAGTGGAGCTGAGAGTGAAACCAAGGTTCGTAGGAAAATTCTTTATAAAAGTCTGCTTTCTAAAATTTTAGTCTGGGAGGTTATACCAGCGTTTAGTATGAAAACTATTTATAAATGTACCATTTGCACTTTATGGTTAACATTTTTTGAGTTATGTTGTTACCTTGAGTCCACTTGTTCTTTGTGGTAGGCTCTGTTTCACATAATAGAAACATTAAAAATAAATGACCGTAATATAACTGGACAATGTCGCTCTGTGTGAAGCATTTACAGGAGGAGCTGAGGGCATGAAATACAGCAGACACACTTCTTGGGGATACTCCTTGGGGACGTTTTCACAAATAGTTTGGAGCGTACCTGGTAATCTTGCTTTTATTTCCTTAGTATTTGAAATGAGGAATGTTAAAAATCTGATTTGCAGAATATATAGTATGTTGCTTGTCCGAAATAAGAAGTGATGTTTAAAACGGGCTGGAAACCCTGTCTTGGGCATCCTTTTTCAAACATAAGGAAGTTAAGGATCACTAAGGAGCCAAGATCCTGAAAGAAAAATTAAGAGTTATATCCAAGAAGCTATTATACACAGCAGAATATAGCTAAGAATTGGTTGAAAGGAGTGAAAAGTTACAATAGAATGTGAGAAGGGAACAGAAACAGTTGTGGAGATGAATCTTGAAGGAAGAATTAGGGTTTAAATAAGAGAGAATAGGACAAAAGGGTAAGAAAATGGGATTTTAAGGGTGTTAATGAATGAGGACTGGCAGGGACAAAACCTGGGCACATTCAATTGATGCATTTGGTTATAACAGGGAAGAGGGGCAATTAAAGTGATACCAAGCTGTTAATGCTTTGCTAAGGAACTTTTAAATCCTTAGGTGTTTGAGGGACTAGAAAATCTATTTTGACTGTGTTAACTAGGCTGGGTTGAGTAAGGAGGCCTAGAAGTCTGGTGCCAAAGATTGCAAAGTTAACATGAAGGCTTTAGAAATGGCAGGAAGTGGGAAAGACAATGCCAAGTTACAATTTTACTTTTTCTACCTGGCTGTGGTACCTCATCAGTGACTATCATGAAAATTCAGCCTTTTTAACCTGTCCTCATTATGAAACTTCAGAGGTAAATAGTGAAATAATGTAACAATTGAAATATTCCTTAATATAAATTTCTCTTCTAGCTGAGTGGGTGAATTATTTGCAGCCTGAATTGGTAAGTATGTTCTGAGGCCTTTTCAAAAGGTAATGAGATTTCAAAACACTCAAAACTTGAGTTTTGGATCATTTTGTCTTCTCTTCATTTTGGCGGTGCTAACTTCTTATTGCATTGGTGATGGGGAAAAGACACCCCCCCTCAAAAAACAACAACAATAAAACAGCGAGGGTGTAGCTAAATCATAGAGCACATGTGTAGCTTGCACAAGGCTCAGGATCCCATCCCCCGCAGCACAAACAACCAAAGAAAGCAAAACAAAGCCCTAACCTGTATACTGTATGTTTGGGAGTAAGGTATGTATATAACACGAGGGCAGATTTTCTTTTTTGTACATGTAATATGCAACATCATTAGAAGATTATGCAGTGATCAGAAGATGTTTTGTAGAAAGGGAAAGCCAGTTTAGCTGGTCCCTTTGTGTCAGCTCCATACTGCATGTACCTGTGGGTATCCGCATATAGAGGTGCTGAGGAGGCTTATGCAGTTGGATTTCCATGTTACCTTTTATCACTGAAGCCTGAACTGTGTTCTGTTAAATAATTGAAAACAGTTGTATAGGTTAGGTTGCATTAGAACTTACATACTACTGTGTTCCACACCAAATTTGATACTGTCACAATCACATTTTAGATGCACTTAACTTGCCTTTGTTTCAACTAATAGTGTTACGTACTTCCTGAAAGACGATGAGGAAATAAAATAGGTGGCTGGGGATAATTAGAATCTGAATTTGACTCTCACTTTTGGCTTCTTTCATGAAAACTAACAGGAAAGGAGGGCATGGTTAATCACTACAAATAAACTTTATATCAGCTGGCTCAAAGCACTCTCCCTTATAACAAACACATTGTTGCTCCTCAGCTGTTTCCAGCTGTTATTAAGGGAGCAATCTCAGGTTTAGATGGGAGTTTCTCAGCCCCATTCAGTGGCTCTATCTTTTGTATTGGTTTTATTTCCTCAATTAATGGCTTGAGTTGTTAAAATGAATTGGAGAGCAAAAAAAAAAATTGTTACCTTCTTGTTATCTTTTTCTGTGACAATGCTGTGCTGCCTCTAGGCTTATAGTATGTATAGCAAGCCTGTGTTTTTAAATGGGCCTGTGGAGTGAGTAGAAAGCAGCCACCTCTCAGCATGTAAATGAGACTGAATTGTATGTTCTTGACACGTGTAAACATTTACATTTGGAATCTTCTAGCTTAAAAATTGCTTAGTGTGGTCAGTCCACACTTTAAGTACTTCTTTAGGTCTATGGCATGAATGTCTTTGTTATGTGCCCAACCATTCCAGACTTAGTAGTGTTGCTGTAGAAGCAGATTTTGTTAGTTTTCTTACTACATTCTACCAATAGCCAGATGAAATAGGGAGGTGTTCTTTACTTATTCAGATTTGATGATCCTTATTTTACAGGGATTTTAATTTTGAAAAATAACTTGTGAAGGACTGTTTGAGTAGAGATACACGACTAAATAAATGTTGTGCTTAAATCCATCGACCACATCTGACCTGCTCCAGATTGTTGAGTAAGTGGATTTGGAGAAAGAGTTATTACTTAACCGCTGCACACTGGGGTTTTTTTGTTTTGTTTTACTTTTGTTTCTACCAGTTCTAGGGCTTGAACTCGGGGCCTGAGCTTTTATGCTTAAGGCTACCACTCTTCCAGTTGAGCCACAGCTCTACTTCTGGCTTTTTTGTGGTTATTTGGACATAAGTCTCATGGACTTTCCTGCCTGGGCTGGCTTTAAATCCTGATCCTCAGATCTCGGCCTTCTGAGTAGCTAGGATTACAGCTACAAGTTGCTTATGCTTGGCTCTTTTTTGTTCTTTAGTTTTGGGGGCGGGGGTGTGTATGTTCCTATCTTACAAGGTATTATAAAACTTACATTTGGAGATGAATTGAAAAATACTGGTATTTGGGGATATTCCAAAGTCTGTGGATTTTAAGAGGTAAAAGTGAAAGTTACAGAAGTATGCATTGTTGAATGGATTTGCTGTTGTGGGTTTTCCCTCATTTTGGTAATTATTAGATAACTATTAGGCATATATGAAATTACTCCTACATGGCTCCACCTTCAAATTAAAGTAGGAATATTTGCTTTAATATTTTCAATGTATTCAGTCTTACTTAGGTCCTTCCCAGAATAATTTATTTTAAATTATTGGATCTTCTTAAATTCAAGACTAGTAAGGCTAAAAGGCTAAGTGACAAAGGCTTACAAAATGTTTAGGAATGAAAGGACAGAATTTCTGATCAAATTTTGCTTTGTACTTGGGCTTACAGGAATTGTGGAGGCGCTTCAGTGAAAAAAATGTGCAATTATGGGATCGCCTTGCTAACCATCACCACCTGCTCTCCTTGATAAGCCAGCAAGACAGTGAGTCAGGGAGAAGGAAAAAAGGCCAACATGAAGCTAAAGCAGCGAGTCGTGCTGTTAGCAATACTTCTTGTCATCTTTATCTTCACCAAAGTTTTCCTGATTGACAACTTAGATACATCAGCTGCCAACCGGGAGGACCAGAGGGCTTTTCACAGAATGATGACTGGTTTGCGGGTAGAGCTGGTGCCCAAGCTGGACCACACTTTACAGTCTCCATGGGAAATAGCAGCGCAGTGGGTGGTGCCCCGGGAAGTGTACCCTGAAGAGACACCAGAACTGGGGGCAATCATGCATGCCATGGCCACCAAGAAAATCATTAAAGCTGATGTGGGTTATAAAGGGACACAGTTAAAAGCTTTACTGATACTTGAAGGAGGACAGAAAGTTGTCTTCAAACCTAAGCGGTAAGTCTTCATCCTAAAAGCTATTGTGCTAGTTGGTTGACTCATTTTACTTGGGATCTAAATAGAGGCCTTCATCTCCTTTTCTTAGTAGTCTTTGGAGAAAAATAGAAGAGAAAGATTGCAATGTCTTTGAGGTCTTTTCTAATTCTAAAAGTTTGTGATTCTTTGAGTAGAGGAAATTTATAGGAACCTGTTTTGGCTCCTTTGAGACTAAGCTTTTGACAACTTGAGCTATCCTTGATTTCTCAAAAATCAAGTATGTACTATGTGTCAGGTGTTAAAAACACAAAATGAAGCTGGATGCTGGTGGATCACACCTGTAGTCTTAGCTACTCAGGAGGCTTAGATCTGAGAATTGCTGTTCGAAGTCTGCCTGGGAAAGAAAGTCCATGAGACTCATCTCCAATTAACCACCTAAAAAACAGAAGTGGAGCTGTGGCTAAAAGTGGTAGAGCACTACTAGCCTTGAGCAAAAAAGCTTAGGGACAGTGCAGAGGCCCTAAGTTTAAGCTCCACAACTGACCAAAAAAAGAAAAAAAAGCCAGCCCAGGTAGACAGACCATCACTGTGGAATCATGTAGTTTCCATGGCTCCCCCTTCCCCCCCAAATCCTCTGCGCTCTACAGATTCATGCTTTCCTCTGATCTTTCTGCTATTTTCATAGTTTTGCTTTTACCCAGCTGTCATGTAGTTGAACTCACAGTATAGAGCTTTTCATACTGGCTTCTCTCACTTAGGAGTACATATTTAAGGTTCTTACATATTGTTATGTGGTTTAAGCAAATAGTGTATACGTATATATTTCTTTTTATCATGGAATAATATTTTATTGTATGAATGTTCCGCAGCTTAAATTTCTATTTACCTACCAAAGAGCATCTTGTTTGCTTCTGTATTTTGGCAGTTGTGAATTAAGTTGGTCTAAACATTTATGTGCAAGCTTTTGTGTGGACCATAAGTTTTGAACTCATTTAGATAAATAACAGGAAACACCATTGCTTGATTATTTGGTAAGAGTATGCAATTTTGTTTTGTTTATAACTGCCAAACTGTCTTCCAAAATGGTTGTAACATTTTGCCTTTCTACTAGCAAAGAACAAGAGTTCCTTTTACACATTATTCTCACCAAGATTTAGTGTTGTCAGTGTTTTGGAGCCATGTTAATAGTTACGTAGTGGTATCTCATTGTTTCTTTACCACTATTTATAAGCAAAGAACTAGGCCATTCCAGTACCTCAGTAATTAAGTGGTTTGTTATACTGTTAGCTATCCCTTTGGACCTCTCCCTTTAGAGAGGTACAAAGGTAATTTGTGGGTTAATTCTTTCATACATATATATGTGTGTATATATATATATATATATATATACACACACACACACACACACATAATTCTTAAGTTTTCTGTGAGTAAAATGTAACACAATATAACATCATACTTTGTGAAGAGTTAGCTACTGGCAGTTTGTATTTGTATACTGTAAAAGTTTGTGTACTAAACATTTTTTTTCATTCCTCAGTGGAACTTTTTGTTGTTGTTGTTGATTGTGGGGCTAGAACTTGGGGCCTAGGCTATTTGCTCACGACTAGTGCTCTACCACTTTGAGCCACAGCTCTACTTCCAGTTTTTTGTTTTTAATTTTAATTTTTATTGTGAAAACACTGTACAGAGGAATTACAATTACATGGGCAAGATAATGAGTACATTTCTTATCAAGCATTGTAGTCTCCTCCTTTGTTTCCCCTTCCCATCCCTGCCCATCCTCACCCCCCTCTGCCCCCCCACCCAATCTTCCCCCCCCACCACCAAAGTTGTAAAGTTCGTTTTTCCACATAACAACTTGTACATCTCATTGTTGCAATGGATCCACCTGTATCCCTATTTAAATGATTTGTTTTTTCCCTTCCCCTCCACAAATTATACCAACCTCAAATACAGTGAAAGCAAGGGTTATACCATGGGGGAGGGACATACAAAGCAACAAAGAAATAATCTCATAAATGTGTTAGAAACAATCACCTGAAAAAAAAAACATTTGAATACATATCTTAGGGTTCATTTCCCTAACATCAACTTATCTGACGTTTTCTGCTTGACTCAGACATATACTAGTTATTGCAAATAAGGGAAACCATGGGACCTAAGTTTCTTTGGGCCTGGCTTACTTCACTTAATATAATTTTTTCCAAGCCTTTCCATTTACTAACAAATGGGGCAATGTCATTCTTTCTGATGGAGACATAGAATTCCATTGTGTATATACCACATTTTCTTGATCCATTCATCTACTGAGGGACATCTGGGTTGGTTCCGTATCTTAGCTATGGTAAATAATGCTGCAATAAACACAGCTTTAGTGTGGCCTTGTTTGTGATCATTTGGGTGAATGCCCAAAAGTGGGATTGCTGGGTCATAGGGGAGCTCTATGTGGAGTCTTTTGAGGACCTCCATACTACTTTCCAAAGTGGTTGAACAAGTTTACACTCCCACCAACAATGCAGTAAGGTTTCCTTCTGGCCACATCCCCTCCAGCATCTGTTGTTATTAGAGTTTTTGATTATCTACTTCCAGTTTTTAAATGGTTAATTGTAGATAAGAGTCTCACGGGGACTTTTCTGCACAAGCAGCTTCAAGCCACTGTCCTCAGAGCTCAGCCTCTTGAGTAACTAGATTACAGGCCTCCAGCGCTTGGCGCAGTGAACTTTTGACAGAATAATACCTTCATATTTCTTGTTGCAGTAGAGGAAGAAATATTAGGAAAAGATACAAAATTAAATTTCCTTTATTAACAACTATTAAAAGATAGGCGGAGAATGAATATATTTAGGATCTCAAAAAAGATCAATGTTTGCCTGGAACTGGGAAGTCTGAGGTATGGAAGACAGGGTAATTAGGCAAGTTAATAAAATGCAATAGAGGCTGATGGCATGCCCTTCTGCAGAAGTGAATGTTGCTTAGTTGAGAACCAGGCATTATGGTGCGTGCCTGAAATCCCAAAATTTGGAAGGCTGGGACAGGAGAAGCAAGAGTTTTAGGCCAGCATAGGCTACTTGGGAGAAGTTGTTGTAATAAATAAATAAATACAGACAGACCTTTAGGAAGTAGAAAATTCATTGAACCAAGGCATGGTGGTTCACATCTGTAATTCCAACCATTATAGAGGCTAAAGTAGGGAGAAGGTGAGTTTGAGAACAGCCTAGGTGACAAACTGAGTACCACCCTCGCCTGTCCAGAGAAAAAAAAAGGGAGGGAGGGAAAGAAAAGAAAAGAAAAGGTCTGATTTCCTAATAGTGTAGTGAATATACACCTTTTTCCAGGCTTTACACCAAGTATTTTTGAGTCTGTTAATATGTTTAACCTTAGAGGCAATTCAGTTCTTTTCTAGAATAAGAAACTGAGGCTTAAGTAAGTTAACTTGAAAGGATCACAACATAATAATTGGTGGAGTTTGAGTTTGAACTCAAGTATATCAGTTTTAAACAGTTTACACACACATGCGTGCGTGTGTGCACACGCCTTTCTGTATTTGCTTGTTATACACTTGATGATGTGGAGCACCTATCATCAAAAACTGCTGATTTAGTGTGAAGTATGATTCTTGTAGCCTGAAAGATTAGCAGCATAAGCAAAGGTGGGGGGAAAAGAAAAAAATAAAATTTATATAGAAAGAAATGAAATATGAGCATTTTGTGTTTAAATAAGAGGGGTTCCTCTTCACATGCACTCTTTCTACACTAGAGATAGTTTCGATGTATTAGAAAAATAGATATTTCTGATCAGGTGCTTTGTAGACAGGCCTGATGTGTGAGAGGGGACTAGAGACCACACTGGTTGAGTAGGGGAGGTAGCAACAAATAAGTGTAGAAACCTTAGTTACTTCTTGTTCACCTCATACCTCTTTCTACTTCTGCTTTTTTTTTTTTTTTTTGGTCAGTCCTGGGGCTTGAACTCTGGGCTTGGATGCTGTCCCACCACTCTTCAGCTCAAGGCTAGCACTTTACCTCTTAAGCCAAAGCACCACCTTGATCCTTTGATCTCAGCCTCCTGAGTAGCTAGGATTACAGGTGTGAGTCACCAGCACTCAGGTTACTTCTGCACTCTTTACCTTCTCTTCCAGATCATCCAAAAAAAAAAAAAAAACATTTCCACTCTTCTCTGAAAATGCTCATAATATCCAGGTGTTTCTATTATCCACTAGGCAAAACCTACCCTCCACAGCCTAGTGATCAAGAACCTTACAGTCTGGCCCTCCTCTCTGCAGGGTCTCAACTTTCCTCTCTCATCTTCTAAATAACCTATGCCTTCATACTCCCAGGCAACCTCCCTGGCCATCAGCAAGATGTATGAGCCGCTGCAGAAGGTGGTACCTTCCTTAGTCATTTTACTTGCTACCCAGTGTTGGTTTATACTGGGCTCTGTGCCAGGCTAGGAAGATAGGTGTAGGTTTAAGTACTTGTGTAGAAATTGGCTGCAGTCCCTGAACACCCAACAAAATGCTATTCTGACCCTCTCAGGCCTCACAGCTATTCAGTCTTGCAGTAAGTGCAAGTTAATGTCCTCGGTCAGACTCTGATGTCCTTCACAAGAATGATAGGAATGATTTATTGGCTGTTACTGTATAACTTGCTGCTCTGTCAGTGACGTAAGATGGATCACTCTCTGCTGAAAGGAGAATACAAATCCTCACTGCCAAGTCAAGACGTGTATCTTTCTTTAATAGCCTCTGTGGTTTCAGCATCTGGAACTGGGTTGTCCACACCCTCCTCAGAGATAGAAGGTGTGTATAGGTAGATGACATGTTTAGGAACATAGACACACTATTATTTACACATTTTCCCTCAACCTTGTCAAAGTGATTTTTTTTAATATGGCTGTCCATTCAGGCAGTAAATTGATTTTATATGGACAAAATTAAGCTATCGTGGGAAAAGAATGTAAAGCAGGGGCCTAGGACTGGGTAGAAATAAAAGGGATTATCTCAGGACATGCTAAAATGAACCTTAGAGACCAGCTAGATGGTCCTTTCATATCTTACATAGACAAAATGAGCTAAAGATTCACATCTCATGACTGAGATGTAATTCTTTGGATTCTTCTTCCCTCTCTCCTTGCTAGTCTACCTCCCAAAATTCCTGGGTTCCTCTATGTATTTATATTTCACTCTGAGAAGCCTTTACATGTATTGCAAAGCTCTGTGATATTTCACTGTACAGAATGTATTGTGCATTATCTCTTACCTTGCTGTGACACCACTGAAGTTCTGAAAAAATATTTCCCAGCTGGGTGACAGCCTACACCTATAGGAAAGAGAAAAGTGCTTGTTTTAGCATCAGCTTTTGCTGTAGTGGTATTTCAAAACTGCTTTTAGAGGCAACTTATTGGCCATGCTGAGAAAAAACTAGTGCCCAGTAGATGGTAACACTTTACTGTCTTATAACATGAATTGCTTCATCACTTTGCCTTGAAGATAGGAGACTTGACTTCCTATTCTAAGGTAATTTAAGTTGAAGGTCACCCTTTATAGTAACATTTTTTATTTCCCCTTAGGTAGTTCTTTCGTTCGTGGCTGTGAGGGGGGGGTATTTTTCTGCTCAAGGCTGGCATTCTATTGCTTAAGCTACACCTCCACTTCTGGCTTTTTTGATGGTTAATTGAAGATAAGAGTCCCTTGAATTTCTCTGCTAAACTGGATTTGAACTGCAATCCTTAGATCTCAGCTTCCTGAATAGCTAGGATTACAGGTGTGATCCATCAGTGCCCATTTCTCCATAGTTATTTCAGCATTGGGATTTCTACTGTTCTTAGCGGAACTGCTGGTCTTCAATCTCAGCTTATTTCTACTTCATAGTTCCCTTGTAAAGCCTAGTAGGTTTCCTTTGATTCAGGAATGAAAATAAACATTAAAGGTCATAGGTAAATTAAATAATTTCTTCCCAATAAAAAGGCTTAAATATACCAGGCGCCGGTGGCTCACCCCTGTAATCCTAGCCACTCAGGAGGCTGAGATAGAAGGATTGGGGTTCAAAGCTAGCTCAGGCAGGAAAGTCTTTGAAACTCTTATCTCCGATAAACCACCAGAAGACCAGAAGTGGCGCTATAGCTCCAGTGGTAGAGCACTGGCCTTGAGCTGAAGAGCTGAGGGACAGCGCTCAGGCCCAGAGTTCAAGCCCCATGACCTACCAAAAAAAAAGAAAGGCTTAAATATTTCCTTCTCCCTCCCCTCCCCTTTGCTAGGAAGCCCATGTTGACCTAGAACTCCCTATGTAGTCCAGGCTGACTTCAAGCTTGAAATCCTATGTCAGCCTCCTGAAGACTGGGATTATAAACATGTGCCACTGTGCCTGGCGAAATAGTATCTTTAACGATGTTAGTAGAAGGAAAATATTCCTGTTTTCATTACCCTCTGGTTATGCATCTGGTGTAAAATTACCAGAATGCATTTAAGGTGAAAGAGACCTTAGAAATTACCTCTAAGTTCAGTCTCTAGTCTTGCACATAGGGAATCTGATACCCAGAGAAGAGAACAGTTTTGTTTAAAGCTATCCCAACCATCACTTTGCATCCAGGGCTCCTTCCCCCATAAGAAGACTGATTATTTTAGCAGCTTTTTTCAGAAGCACCTTTGCCTTCTTATTAACAAAAACTGAGCTGGCTTTAAACCATGATCCTCTAGATCTCAGTCTCTTGAGTAGCTAGGATTCAGGTGTGAGCCACCAGTACCCAAGAAACTTAAGCTTCTATTGTAAACCTTACCACAACTTCTATTGTAAACCTACCACAACTATTTCAGTAAGCAAAAGTTTTATTATTTCTTTAATTCTATCCAATAAACATTTTAGTAGACGTTTATTAAGTACCAGCACTATGCAGGCTATATGAAAATGATTCTTGCCTTCTAGAAAATTATGTGATTATACTTAAACTACATTGAAAATCCGTTGGGGGGGAGGGTAAAAATAACTTCTTGCTCTGAGCACTGGTGGCTCACACCTATAATCCTAGCTACTCAGGAGGCTGAGATCTGAAGATCACAGTTCAAAGCCAGCCCAGGCAGGAACGTCCATAAGACTCTTTATCTCCAGTTAACCCCAGAAAACTGGAAGTGGATCTATGGCTCAATGTGGTAGAGCACTAGCCTTGAGTGGAAAAAAGCTCAGGGACAGCACATAGGCCCTGAGTTCAAGTCCCAGTACTGATAAAAAAAATCCCACAACGTCTTGCATGTTTTATTCATTGAGTAATTGCTGAGGCTGATAAAGAATTCTTTCTGTCTCTGCCTTCTCTTCATGCCATCTACCAGCAATTTGTGAGTTACAAAATTGTTTTGGGATTGAGAAAAGAGGTGTGTATGGAGCAGAATCAGACTTGCTAAGGTGTGTGTTCTACCTTTCGTACTATGACCTTTCATACTAATGCAATTAATATCTACACCTGTGCTTCCCATTCTTTTTTGCAGGTATAGCCGAGACTATATAGTAGAAGGAGAGCCATATGCTGGTTATGATAGACACAATGCAGAGGTTGCAGCTTTTCATTTAGACAGGTATGTGTGATCCCAACAAATTATGTTCACTTTGTTTCCTTTCTTTTGTTTCCTTGAGCTCATGCCTGTAATCTAGCAACTCAGGCAGCTGAGCTTTGAGGATTACAGTTTGAAGCCAGACCAAGCAGAAAAGTTCATGAGACTCTTATCTCCAACTAACTTCCAAAAAGCTAGACATAGAGCTATGGCTCCAGTGGTAGAGTGCTAGTCTTGAGCAAAACAGCTCATAGACGGTGGTTAGGCCCTGGAGTCAAGCCCAGGACTGGCACCAAAAAAAAAAAATCTCTTTTGATGAGTACCTGTGAACTTTTTTCTAAAGGGTGACACACTAGCAATCTTTCTTGTAGTTCTGTGAGTACTTAATAATTTGGGGAGAAAATAATAATTTGAGTGATACCAGGAATGCCAAGTAAGTTACATATTTTAACTAGACTTCTGCTGACTTTCAGCTCAACCTAGCATGCCTTCTGTTATTCTCATGAGTTACTTGTTATTACCAGGAGTGAAGATATTATTGGTAAATAAGTATCAAGCTGAAAATTGAAATTTGAACTCAAATCCCTGAATGAATTGTCCATTGGTTGGATCTGGCTCTCTCATTGGGTTTTTTTGTTTGTTTTTGTTGTAATACTGACTTACCCTTTCTACTGGAAGCATACAACATGAATTATATAACTAAATATAATGTTCTTCATATAAAATATATGTAGTTTTAAAAAAGCAGAGTAATTTCATACGAACAGATATGAATTCAAATTTATTAGATGAGGGAAGTTAATATATTTTTTCAGCAGGATATGAGTTGGGAATCTCTTAGCCAAACTGTTTGGAATCCCAGTTACTTTCTTACTAGCTTTCCAATTTGGTATATTGATGGACTCTTTTATTTTTTACCTTTTTTTTTTTTAATTCTGATGTTACTGGAGCTTAACTCAGGGCTTTTGCTTGCTAGACAGTCAATCTACTACTTGAACCATACCTCCAGACCTTTTTATGCACTGGTTTTGTTTTTGAGTTAGGCTCTCACTTTTTGCTTGGGCCAGCACTGTACCATGATCCAACTATTTTACATTTCCTGTTATATCTTGGTACATACCAGCATACTCAGTTTCTTCCATTGAGATGGACTCTTGCAGGCTGGCCTGGAACAGTGAGCCTCCTGATCTTAGCCTTTCATATGGCTGGGATGACAGATCCATGCCACTGTATCCGGCTGTTTGTGGGAAGTGGTCTTTTATGTATGCTTGAGCTTTCCTTGAACCACAGTCTTTCCAACTTCAGCCTCCCAAGTAACCTGTTTATCAGTGTGAGCTAACAGCTACTGGCTAATATATGGACAGACTTTAAAAGAAATGATTCCAGAGGGGGGACCAAGATGGCGACAGGGCAGTAGGGAAACGCCACAGCTCTCTCCAACCACAAAGAGAGTTCGAGTTCCAACGCTTAATCTCCCCAAGAGACCGACAACAACAAAAAGACGAACACTCAGAGAAAAACCAGAGGTGGAAAATAACAAAAAAAGAAAGAGAAGAAAAGAAGAATTTCAGAACAGAGAAGAGCGAAGACCCCTCCCCCAACCTTTACTGGCCGCGCGGCAGTGCTCCAAGCCGCCAGCCGGCCCGGCGGGGGCTGCCAGAGCCCCAGAGACACAGGGGGCCACTTGCAGATCACCAGGTACCGGTTCGCAGAACAGCGGATCGCCAGGAACAGAGAAACCTACCAGCCGGGATTCTCCATGAGGATCCCACCCCCACCCCTCACTCTCCACTGGAGCAGAGAGGCTCCATCCCGCCAAAGCCGCCCGGCACCAGCAGCACGACAAAGGGACCTGTCGGCAGACCACCCGCCCAATCGCGATCGCAACGACCCGGCGGGGGCCGCCCAACCCAGCCCGCAACCACGCCAACTGAACTCGGATTGCAACAACAACTGACGACCTACACCACACAGAAACAACCAGCTCCAGGGTGAGTACTTCACAGGGGAGAGTGCATCCCTCAAGGGAGACCAGAGCTGGAGGGAATACCCAGACCCTGACCTAGACTCCCTACCCCAACACCGGGACCACAGGACCCACTAAAACTGGGAACTGTTCGAGAGCTCCACCAGCTGGTGGAGCACACTCTGCTGGCCAGGCCAGAGCAAGAGTGCCCCTGGAAGGGAACTTAAATGCCCAAGCCAGGAACAGCACCCCTGGGTCAAGACTACCAACAGTAGAAGAAATTTGAACTGTGTCCCCCAGGCTGCATAACCTAGGTGGTATACACAGCAGCACAGGCCTAACCAGCACGCTCCAGGCTGGGGCTGGAACCAGGCCCGGGGATCCAGCGCCTGAACAACACAACCAACTCCTCCCAACTGAAGTAAAAAGCTGAGCATACGCCTCAACAGAGGGGAGAAAACCAGGAAACAACACTCCCCGGGAAGCACGCCTGTGACAACAAAAGACCTGGAGGCTCAGGACAAGAGAAGCCCAAACCCCACCAAAACTCTACCCATATACCCTAGGCTGGGAATTGGGCAACACAGGCTGCTAGCACCTGATAATAAGCAGGAGCTCAGGCTGATAAGGCGGCTCAGCAATAGAGTGATAGTCTTGGATGTATGAGGCCCTGGATCTGATTCCTCAGCATCACAAAAGCAAAAAGGGTCAGAAGTGGTGCTGTGGCTCAAATGGTAGGGTGCCAGCCTTGAGCTGAAGAGCTGAGGGACAGCACCCAAACCTAGAGTTCAAGCCCACAACCAGCCCAAAACAAACAAACAAAAACACATCAGGAGCCCATAGCAGACTCCAGTATTTGGGAGAGTGCATCCAGAGCATCTGATCTCCACAAGAGTACCCGTAGGAGCAAACACAAGCAGTTTAGGCTGCTCAACCCTTCCAAAGGCGGGAATTGCCAGCAATCTACAGCAGAGAGCTGAGAATCCTAAGTAAGTCAGAATAGCAGCTGGAAATAGGCTCCCAACAGAACCCAGATCAGGCACAGACTCTCTCTACCAATACAGAATCAGCAACCAAGCAAAGACAGACACACCAAAACAAAATTGAAGAGCAGTCTCCTGAACCCCCATGCGAAAATCACAGAGAAAAATCACAAGGTTTATCACCACCCAGGACAGCAAGCTCACCTCAGAAGCCAGCAGCCACGCAGGGGAGAGCCCCAGTGGGAGCAAAGCAGGAATGGAAGAGAAAAGCTACATCCAAGGGTTGCTGGAGGCAATGACTCAAGAAATAAAGCGAGAAATGGATCAGAAATTGAAAGCACAAGGATGAACTATCAAAAGATATACAGGATATCAAACAAAAGTTGGATGCAAAAAGAAATGATTCCAAGTATTTGTTTAATAAATTAGTCTTATAACGAAACCAGGAAAAATATAGGTGAGGTTTCCATCTTTTCTTGATTGGGAAGGATTTCCTATGTGTTTATACAAATCCACATATACACTAAAACTCTAGTAGAATATGGGTAAGAACTTAAGCAGTGAACAAAACAGTAGGAGCTGTCAATTGCTAATGTGTATGGGAATAAGCCTTTCCTCACTAGAAACTTTTATTTATTTATTTATTTTGTGGTCAACTGACCAAACTCTGGGCCTGGGCACTGTCCCTCAGCTCTTCAGCTCAAGGCTAGTGCTCTACCACTTGAGCCATAGTGCCACTTCCAGCATTTTCTGCTTATGTGGTGCTGAGGAATCGAACCCAGGGCCTCATACATGCAAGACAAGCACTCTACAACTGAGCCACCTTCCCAGCCCCCTCACTAGAAACTTTTAAAAATCGAGTTTAATAATGCAGCTGAAAATAGCACAGGTTTAAAATGATGTTTTGTAAATTGGCAGGAATACATTGAAATTCCAAATTATGATAGCGTTAATTATGATAGTGTTAATTTCAACCTTTCTGTTAAGAACTCGTCTACTGGGCTCTGGTGACTTATATCTGTAGTCCTACCTACTCAGGAGGCTAAGTTCTGAGGATTCTGTTTTGAAGCCAGCCTGGGCAGGAAAGTCTGTGAGACTCTTAACTAATCATCAGAAAGCCAGAAGTTGCAGTATGTCTCAAGTGGTAGAGTCCCCCAGACTTGAATGAAAAAGGGGCAGCACCCAGCCCTGGGTTCAAGTCCTAATACCAGCAAACACACATAAAAAGAACTCTGCCATTTTTTGTCAAGACAATATTCATAACCATTAAATGAATAAATTTCTTTTTATTCACATGCCTAAGACATAGCTGGAACACATTAAAGAGAAATGATAAAATATTTAAAGCTAGATACAACTGTCATAGCTGTAGCATTTTGTAGTAGTCAAAGCTAATAGCAACTTAAGTATATCCTGATAAGAAAGAAGTTAAATAAATGTTTATAATGCTATGACTTTTTGCTGCTTCTTTTTAAGACCTAGTGGCAGAGAGTTCGCTAAATCCTATTCCCCCTCCTAAATGGCACACTAGAATTCAGATTTTATTTGCCTATTTCCTACCAGCAGATCATGAAGATCCTTATTTCCAGACCAATATTCTATATTATCCATCATAGCAATTTTTATTACTGTGATGAAGTGTTATTTTATTTTATATTTCCCGTTACATGCAAAGTTTATCTTTTTATAGTATACCTGTTTATTAAGTAGAGGGAAATATTCTTGTATAGAAATGATTGTTTTTAATGTGAATTGAATATAATGACTTGTACTTGGAGGGTCTTTTGTTTGAAAGTTCTTCCCTAGCTCAAATCCAGATATTCTGTGGCCAGCCTCACTGTCTCCTTTGCTAACTGCCACCCAGCCAGCTTTAGGTGCCACTGTGAAACTGCCCCCTCGTCACTAAGCTGGCTGCTTTTCTTTGATTGGCAGTTGTCAATGCATAGAAAGACTATTTTGTACCCTTTTTGTCCATCCATGACTCCTGACACTTTTCTGCTTTGACTTGTGTTTCTCTACTACACTCAGACCTAGCTGCCTTCTCTTGCCTCGTGTTTCTCTTTGTTATGTTATTTTCCATTCGTACATTTCCATGTATTTCATTCATCTCCTTGCTTTTGTGGCTTTTCTAAGATTAGGTTTAGGACAGAACCAGTCCTAAACAGATCATTTGTTCTTTTAAGTCTTTCAAATGGCATGGAGAAAGGCTTATGATATAATAATGAGTAAAAAGCAGGATACGAAACTGCATACAGTATAAGCCCTATTATATGTCTATGCATAAGCTAGAGTGGATGTTTATATATACAGGTAAGGAAAACATGTTTATATGACAAAATGTCAGTAACTTTCTGGATTGGTGAATTGTGGGTGATTTCTGTTTTCACTATCGAATTTCTCTGGGCTTCAAGTTCTACATCTCTTGTCTGGGGAATGTTTTTTTTAGGCAGGCAATGTCATTTAAACAAAAAAAAAATGTTGCTGGTTGCTGGTGGCTCACGCCTGTAATCCTAGTATTCAGGAGACTGAGATCTGAGGATTGCGGTTCAAAGCCAGACTGGGCAGGAAACTATGTGACTTATCTCCAATAAACCACTAGAAAACCGAGAGTGGCGCTGTAGCTCAAGTGGTAGAGCGCTCGCTTTGAGCTAAAGAACTGAGGGACAGCGCCCAGGCCCAGAGTTCAAGCCCCATGACTGACCAAGAAAAAATTTTTTGTTTTCAGCTGGTACTGGTGACTCACACATGAATCCTACCTACTTAAGATACTAAAATCTAAAGGATCATGGTTCAAGGCCAGTTTAGGTAGAAAAGTTCACTAGACTCCATCTCCAAAGTCACCAGCAAAAAGCCTGACTGGAGGCATATCTCAAATGGTAAAACACCACAAGGGCCTAGCAAGTTTGAGTCCCTAAGTTCAAATCTGCCTTCCCAGTACCTCAAAAAAAAAAAGATTGTTTTCAACTGCATGGTAATATTTAACCATTAGAGAGACCATTAAATCTGAGTTGTCCTGTTTGTTCTTTTTCTTTTTTTATTGTGAAAATACCGTACAGAGGAGTTACAATTACATGGGCAAGATAATGAGTACATTTCTTATCAAGCATTGTAGCCTCCTCCTTTGTTTCCCCTTCCCATCCCTTCCCATTCTCCCCCCCCCCCGCCCCCCCACCCAATCCTCCCCGCCTGTCCCCCCCCACCTGAAAGTTGTAAAGTTCGTTTTCGACATAATGACTTGTACATCTCATTGTTGCAGTGGGTCCACCTGTGCCCTGTTTGTTCTTTTAGGTCCATCTGCATAGTTTTGTCAGTGTGCTATTTTATATAAGCTTTAACCTATGAACTTAAGTCCAAGTTTTTCTAATGCTTCGTTTAAATTTTAAATTTTTACTAGGAAAATTTCCTAAGTAGAGGTAGAAAGGATAATATAATGATCCCATATCCCCATTCCCTAGATTCAACAGCTGTTGACATTTGGTACAGCTCACCTTTTACACCTTTTTGCTGGAGTGTAAAATTACAAACATTTTGACATGATATGCGTAAACGTTTATTCTTTTAAAAAAAAAAGATACCATCTACGATATAGGATTCACCACAATTTTTGAGAATATAATTTAAAGTTAATCCCCAAATATTTTTTACTTTTCCTCTTCAACTTTGGAAACCAGGATTCTGGGCTTCCGCCGAGCTCCCTTGGTGGTTGGCAGATACGTTAATCTTCGGACAGAAATCAAGCCTGTTGCCACGGAGCAGCTGCTGAGCACCTTCCTAACTGTGGGTAAGAAGAGTATAGAGGACTTCTAGACAGGGGGAGAGGTAATAATCATTGAGCAAGCTGGTTTGTGTCTTTTAGGACTTGAAGAATTCAAGGGAATGTAAAAGCAAATAGGCAACCTGATCTCAGGTTAGTGGGGGAATTGGATATAAAAGTAGATAGCAGAAAATTGAAAGTTTTCCCAATGTACTCTCAATAGTTCTTCTACAGTAGAAAGTATGAAGTTATTTATTGGTAGTGAAAGTAAATGATAACTTCATTTTCTTCTGTTTAGTTTTACTACTAAGTCTCAAATCCAGGTTTTTGCTTAAAATGAGTCTTCATATCATTGGCTCTGTTATTTTCTCCAACGTGTGTGTGTGTGTGTGTGTGTGTGTGTTCAATTGAGAACTGTCGCCTTAGAATTGAATAAATCTTGAGGCGACTCTGTAAGATAACAAAACATTCCCTTGTAGGGTGGCTTTTGGCGCTGCCTTTCCTACTCTGCTAGGATTCGTTTATAGCTCACTATACATAAAACAGGCTCCAATTTCCATTATCTCACTCTCAGGCAAGGGACATGAGCTAAAGTTCTCATTCTTGTTCTGATTAGAAAGTGAAAAATTCACAGGTGCTGTGAATCCTCTTCATGATGACTATGGTTTTCTTATATATCACAAAAGCATAGTATCACTGATTTGTTTCAGATAATTTTCTTTTTTTGCCGGTCCTGAGGCTTGAACTCTGTGCCTAGGTGCTGTCCCTGAGCTCCTTTTGTTCAAGGCGAGCACTCTGCCACTTGAGCCACAGTGCCACTTGTGGATTTTTTGAGTAGTTTATTGGAGTTGTCTCATGTTTCTTGCACGGATTTGCTTTAAACAGCAATCCTCAGATCTCAGCCTCCTTAGTAGCTTGGATTACAGCAGTGAGCCACCTGCACCCAGCTTCAGATCTTATCTGTTCTTTGCTTTGCTTTGCTTTAATTGGTGTGAGGCTAGAGTCTGGGCCCTGTCTTTAAGCTCTTCATCTTAAGGCAAGCACCCTATCACTTGAGCCACAGTGCCACTTCCAGTTTTCTGGTGGATAATTGGAGATAAGAGTCTCAAAGACTTTCTTGCCTGGGCTGGCTTTGAACCTCAATCCTCAGATCTCAGCCTCCTGAGTAGCTAGGATTACAGGCGTGAGCCATCAGTGCCCAGCATTTTGGCCTATTTTAAAATCAGGTTGGATGTTTTCATGTTGTTGAATTTTAAAAATTGTTTCTCAGCTAAGAGGTATGACTCAGTACTCCAGCACTACAGATTATCTCACTCTTTACACTCAACAGTTGTGCAACTGTTATCTCCATTTTCTAAAGAAGATGTGGAGAGGTGAAGGATATACCTAATCTTGTCATCTCTTAAATCCTTTCTGTTTTAAGACTGAGGTACAGCTCAGTGGTTAAGTGCTTTCTTTTTTTTTTTTTTTGGGTCCGGTCGTGGGGCCTGAACTCTGGGCCTGGGCGCTGTCCCTCAGCTCTTCAGCTCAAGGCTAGTGCTCTACCACTTGGGCCACAGCGCCACTTCCAGCTTTTTTCTTTTTGCTTATGTGGTGCTGAGGAATCAAACCCAGGGCCTTGAGCATGCAAGGCAACCGCTCTACCGCTGAGCCACCTTCCCAGCCCATTAAGTGCTTTCTTAGCATTTATGAAGCTCTGGGTTTGATCCCAGCACCCCCCAAAGAGAAATATATATGTATGTGTATGTATATATAATAATGCAATACATATTTTATATATAAATCTAAATATGCTTAGTATTTGTTAATATTTAAATCTAGAAATCTAATGCAGACCCAAAATTCTTAACTGATACACTATATTTTGTGTGTGTGTGTGTGTGTGTGCGGTGTGTGTGTGCTTGAACTCAGAGCCTTCTGCTCTCATTCAGCTTTTATTTTTGGGCGCTGTCCCTCAGCTCTTCAGCTCAAGGCTAGTGCTCTACCACTTGAGCCACAGCGCCACTTCCGGCTTTTTGCTTTTTGCTTATGTGGTGCTGAGAACGAACCCAGGGCCTCAGGCATGCAAGGCAAGAGCTCTACCACTGAGCCACCTTCCCAGCCCTTTTATTTTTTTTTCTTGATGGTTAATTGGAGATCAGAGTTTCATTGACTTTCCTCAAGTCTCAACATTCTGAGTAGTTAAGATTATAGGCATGAACCACGGGTGCCAGGCACAACTAACAGGTTTCATATAAGCTATGTTTTGTTTGCTTGTATGTTATTGTTGTTCATTTTTAAACTAGAAACTGAATGTGAGTGTGCCCATTACTACTTAAATGTCATTGTTTCTAGGACAGCATAGGGTGTGTGTGTGTGTGTGTGTGTGCGTGCATATGAATATCCGCATATGTATCTTTTTCTCTATCTCTGGGTATCGATTAAGACTTTTTTTTTTTTTTTGTCGGCCATGGGGCTTGAACTCTGGGCCTGGGCGCTGTCCCTCAGCTCTTCAGCTCAAGGCAAGCGCTCTACCACTTGAGCCACAGCGCCACTTCCGGTTTTCTGGTGGTTTATTGGAGATAGGAGTCTCATGGTCTCTCCTGTCCGGGCTGACTTTGAACCTCGATCCTCAGATCTCAGCCTCCTGAGTAGCTAGGATTACAGGCGTGAGCCACCAGTGCCCAGCTCGATTAAGACTTTTGATTAAAACAGTATAGGTTTTAGACTGGCCATCTTCCTGTCTGTATGTTCAACTTCTCCATCTATGAGAAACTTGGTTTCTGTTATCCCTAATCCGTTCACTTATTTGCTTTTCCTTCTCAACATATATAACTGAACTGAGCACATGTCCCCTTTCTTCTTCCTCTTGGTACTTTAACCAGAACCTCTTTGTTGCTGAAAAACAAGAAGATACTTCTTTTCTTTAATCAGAAGAGTTTACAAAGGTTCTGTGATGGTAGTTGACTTCTGACAGATGCCAGATGGAAGAAAGAAGGGAGATTTACTTTCTAATATGTGCCCGTTTATACTTTGTGGATTTTTTTTTAATACCATCTGAACTATACTGTATAATAGGAAGTTCAGGATTTTCACTTTCTTAAGGCCTGCTTACATTGCTGCTTTCATTTCCCTGTTTGGGGAGATTTGGGAGGTTTTGGTTTTTTTTTTCTTTAAGTGTGTTTGGATCCTTTCCACCCTTTAGGAAACAATACTTGTTTCTATGGGAAGTGCTATTACTGCCGAGAAACAGAGCCAGCGTGTGCCGATGGAGACACAATGGAGGGGTCTGTTACGCTCTGGCTCCCAGATGTGTGGCCGCTGCAGAAGCATCGACACCCCTGGGGGAGGACTTACAGAGAAGGCAAATTAGCCAGGTAAACGTTCCTGTGAGCCACTACTTAATTCTTCCAGTGCCAAGCCGGATGCCAGTCCTAAATAGAAGCCAGCTGTTCTATCCAAAAATAAGAGTTCTCGAGTCAGGGGCAACCTGTTAAGCAGGGACTTTCTTCTCTGTTTTGTTGTTGTTGTTTGCATTTTTATTTTGTTGGTTTTGTTTTATTTTTTTTTCCTGTTGGTCAAGGGGCTTAAGCTCTGGGCGTAGGCACTGGTCCTGAGCTCTTCAGCTCAAGGTGAGTGCGCTACCACTTGAGTCGCAATGCCACTTCCGGTTTTCCGAGTGGTTAATTGGAGATAAAAGTCTCACAGACTTTCCTGCCTGGTCTGGCTTTGAGCCATGATCCTCAGATCTTAGCCTCCTAAGTAGCTAGGATTACAGGTGTTTTTAGTAGTGCCACTGTATTAGCTTTCTGTCACTGTTAACAAATACATGAGGTCCATCAACTGAAAAGCAGGAGAAATTTCTTTTGGCTCATAATGTCAAAGATTTTAGTCCATAGTCTCTTGACTACATTGCTTCGGGCCTAAAATGGTGCAGTGCTTTGTGGCAGAAGCACAAGGTGGCGGAGGCTTCTTGCTTCGATGTGGCTGGGAAGCAGAGAAGGAGAGAGGGTGGGCCGAGGTTCTGATGTCCCCTTTACACCTGCTCCGGGTGACATAGCTTTTTTTTTTTTTTTTTTTTGGCAGGTCATGGACCTGAACTCTGGGCCTGGGCACTGTCCCTCAGCTCTTCAGCTCAAGGCTAGTGCTCTACCACTTGAGCCACAGCGCCACTTCCGGCTTTTTTCTTTTTGCTTATACGGTGCTGAGGAATCGAACCCAGGGCCTCATGCATGCAAGGCAAGCGCTCTACCACTGAGCCAACTTCCCAGCCCAACATAAGCTTTTTATAAATGTTCCATCATGTCCCAGTAATGCCACCGGCTGAGAATCAAGTCTTTAGTATATTATCTTTGGGAGATATTTAAAGTCCAAATCGTAACATTCTACTCAGCTCCCAATTTTACATCTCACAATGTGTTCAGCCCATCTCCAAGAGTCCTGAAAGTCTTTAACTGTGCCAACATTGCTGAAAAATCAGGGTTCCAGAGTCTCCTCCAAGACTCAAGGCAGACTCTTAGCTGTAAGCCCCTGAAAATAAGAAAAAAGGAACAAGTTACATACTTCCAAGATAAAAATGATGGGCTGGGAAGGTGGCTCAGTGGTAGAGCGCTTGCCTTGCATGCCTGAGGCCCTGGGTTCGATTCCTCAGCACCACATAAGCAAAAAGAAAAAAGCCGCAAGTGGCACTGTGGCTCAAGTGGTAGAGAGCGAGCCTTGAGTTGAAGAGCTGAGGGACAGCGCCCAGGCCCAGAGTTCAGGCCCCACGACCAGACCCCCCAAAAAAATGATTACAAGGGTAAACATTCCGAATCATTTCAAAAATGGAGGAATAGGAAAATGAAAGGATTGGACCAAAGCAAGACTGAACTCCAGAGGGGCAAATAGTAAATCCTTTAAGCTCCATGACCACCATCCAGAGCATACAATGGTATAATGTGAACCTCAGAGACCTTGGTCAATCCCACCCCTATGGCCTAGCTGGTTATAGCCCATATGGCTACCCTCTTGGGCTGGCTCGGCTTACTGCCTAGAACTTCAGTAGATAGGCATTTTATTGTTCTTGCATCTCATGACTTCCTGTAGTCTCCCTTGTAGCTTTGGCTTCACTCTTACAGTTTTATGTAGAAGCTACTTGTAGACTTCCAGGCCTTCGTTTGAAATCTCAATGGAAACCTCCATAGCCCCATAATTCTAACATTCTATATTGATGCTGCTGCTCTCTGTCACAGTAGCCAGGCTGCTTGGAGTGTCTTTCTCAATGGCTGAATAATTCCCTAGACTCTCCGTTCAGCCTGGCATCTCTCCTGTTGTTACAGAGTTCTTGACTCCTTTTTGATGGTGCTAAATATGTTGACTTGAACTTTATATGCCCTTGTTTTCTTGTCAGACTACAAGTTTCTTTATAATTCTGCTCTATGTTTACTCCTGTTTCTCATAGTAAATACAGTTAAAATAACCATTCTGCTGCGTTCCCCATCATATAAATGATTCTGCACCTTTAAATTTAGCTTTTCTGCTAAATCTCAGGGCATAGAAAAAAACGTAGACAAGTTCTCAGTCAAATGTAATATGAATGGCCTCTAATCCAATCCCCAATAGACCCTTCTTTCCATCTGAGATTTCAGTCAGCATAGCCTTTTCTATCCCAAAATCACCCATTAACTTTTGCTTCCAGCATTCCAGCCTTTCTTTAGCCTGCTTCCCCAAACTTTTCCAAACTCAAAAGGCCTCTGAACCACAGAATACCCAAGATAAGTAAATTTTAAAAGAGGATCCATTGGTTTTGGGACTGTGGAAAGGCAGAGCATTACAATGGGAATCTGTTGTAGAGTGAAGCTGCTCACTCCATTATGGTCAGGAAGCAAAAAGATGAAAGAGGTAGCATTTGGGTGCCTATATTCCCTTCTGGTCATGCCCCCAGTGATTCAACTTCCTTCCACCAGCCCTTATCCTTCAGTAGCACCACTGGCTACAACCAGTCCTTTAGCACATGGTCTTTGGGTGACTTTTAAGATCAAAACTAAATAGCCAGGTGTAGTGTTGGCACTCAGTAATGACCCTGTGATGTTCCTTGTCTCCAGGTGGGAGTATGATGAGAGTTACTGTGATGCTGTTAAGAAAACATCCCCATATGACTCAGGCCCACGCCTTTTAGACATCATTGATACTGCAGTCTTTGATTACCTGATTGGCAATGCTGACCGACATCACTATGAGAGCTTTCAAGATGACGAAGGCGCTAGTATGCTAATCCTTCTTGATAATGCCAAAAGGTAAGACCAGCAGGACTATCAGTTTCTGTATACAAAAGGATATTCTAGGGCATTGTGTTAGTCAGCTATGAGTCACTGTGACGGATACCTGAGATAAACCAATGTCAGGATGAAATGTTTATTTTGCCTCACTGTTTCAGAGATTTCAGTCAGTGGCTGATGGGTTCCAAAGTATCTGGGCTTGTGATGAGGCTTGAAGCATGTAGTGGAGCAAAGTGCTCATCTCATAGCATCTGGGAAATGAAGAGGCCAGAATCTCAGTACCCTCTTCAGCTATATATCCCCAATGGGATCTATGACTTTGTTCTACCAACTTCTAGTAGCACCATAGGCTGGTCACTTGTCCTTTGTATATGAGCCTTTGGAGAACACTTTAGATGTACACTAAAGCAGGTATCTAGAGCACAATTAATTTTTTTTTTGTCGGTCGTGGGGCTTGAACTCTGGGCCTGGGCGTTGTCCTTCAGCTCTTCAGCTCAAGGCGAGCACTCTACCACTTGAGCCACAGCGCCACTTCCGGTTTTCTAGTGGTTTATTGGAGATAGGAGTCTCACGGTCTCTCCTGCCTGGGCTAGCTTTGAACCGCGATCCTCAGATCTCAGCCTCCTGAGTAGCTAGGATTACAGGCGTGAGCCACCAGCACCCGGCCACAATTAATTTTTTTAAAAAGTCCTCCTTTTTCCACTTAGAGCCTTAGCTCTTGGTATCCCTCCTTCCCTTCCTCCTGAGTAATTTCAGAGTACAGGACATGCACCTTGAAATGCTGTTGAAAACTAGAAAGTGGTCCTCTTTACAACTGGAAGCCAATTTGTCCCTATCTATATCATTCTTGGCTATGATGTTTACATAACCTCAAATCTGAGACGTTCAGATTTAATAAAATAGAATTTATTTATGATTATATGGAATCTGAAGGTTTGTGCATTTTAAGCATTAAGACAGCTTAGACCCATGAGATGAGCAGTTATACAGTGATTTTATATAAAGACAAGTTAACTTTTAAGACAAGCTTACTCATTTTGAACAAATAGAACAACATCCTTATTATTGTAGGCCTGAGTTATTTAGAGAGCACATTTTATTTCCATTTTGCCCTCTGCATTCACCAAGGGAGCCAGTTCAGTTCAAAGAAATATTTCAATTATTCTATATAAGTGTTTGCTGAAGAATGCTTCCTTAGAGCCCAGAATTGCCCAGCCCTGGTTACTTCTGCAACCCAAGATGCTGGGAATAAGCTTAGGCATGGCTCCTCAGGAAAGAATGCTTGAGCAGCATTTGTACCATCTTCTACTGAGCAACAGGCACCCCATGCTCTGTGCAAGTTCGTGATCGTTACAGAAAGTAAAGGGTCCATAAACAACACTACTCTTCTGACGACGTCAGGTAGTGATCAGTCCTATATTTACTCCTAAACTTTATCCTTACTTGTAAAAATGGTAGTTTTTTTGGGGCGCTGTCCCTGAGCCTCTTTGTGCTCAAGGCTAGCATTCTACCACTTGAGCCACAGTGTCCCTTCCAGCTTTTTCTAAGTAGTTTATTGGTGATAGAGTCTAATGGACTTTACTGCCTAGGCTGGCTTCAAGCCTCAATCTTCAGATTTCAGCCTCCTGAGTAGTTATGTGAGCTACCAGCCCCTGGCAGCATGTAATACCTTATATGTCCCAAAACAGTTACTATCTTAATCCCTTTAAACTGTTGGAACAACGGTTACTTATAGACAGCAAAATTTTATTGGGCACAGTTGAGGAGGGTGGAAAGTTTTAAGAACAAGGTAAGGTGCCAGCAGATTCATTATCAAGTGAGGAGCCATTCCTCATGGATGGTGCCTTCGATGTCCTCATGTAGTAGAAGAGGTACACAAGCGCTGCTGGCCTCTTTCCTAATGGCACAGATCCATGCATGAGAGTCTTTCCTCATGATGTAGCCACTTCTTAAAGGCTTTACCTCTTAATAGTGTTGCATGGGGGGTTAGGTATTAACATGAATTTATGGGGTGGTGATACAAATATCTCATACTGTAGCAGCTGCTTTCCCTATTATTATTGGAGAGCCTACCGGGTACTACAAGGTAGCAGACCTCCATAAATTAAGGTGAGATTTGGGGAAAAGAGTGAAAGGTTGACAAATTCTCCATAATTGCTTCTCTTTTCCCAGTTCTGAATTGCTCCCCCCTCTCCTGCTGATAGAATCAAGGCTTTGAGCTCTCAGCTTTCTTGCTCACAACTGATGCTCTACTATTTGAGCCATACTTCTATTCTGGTATTTTACTGGTTAATTGTAGATGGAGTCCCATTAACTCTTCTGCCTTGGCTGGCTTCAAACCAAATTTGAGCCTGAGTAGCTAAGATTGCTGGTGTAGCAACGATTGCTGGGTTCCTAATACCTTTTTTTCTGGTGCTGGACCTGGGGTTGGAACTCAGGGCCTAGGCATTGTCCCTGAGGTTTCTTTTTCTCTACCATTTAAGCCATAGCTCCACTTCTGGCATTTTGGTGGTTAACTGGAGATAAAGTTCCATGGCCTTTCATTTCCTGGTTAGTTTCAAACCTCAGATCTTTCTCTCTTTTTTTTTTCTTTTGTTGTTGTTGGTGGTGGTGGTCATGGGCCCTGAACTCTGGGCCTGGGCGCTGTCCCTCAACTCTTCAGCTGTAGACTAGCTCTCTACCACTTGAGCCTCAGCCCCACTTCCGGGTTTTTCTGCTTATGTGGTGCTAAGGAATTGAACCAAGGCATGCAAGGCAAGCACTCTACCACTGAGCCACCTTCCCAGCCCCTCAAACCTCAGATCTGTCATGAGTACCAAGATCTCAGGCTTAAGACACCAGCACTCAGCTCTGTTATCCTTTTCTTTCTTTCTTTCTTTCTTTTTATTTGATCGTGGGGCTTGAACTCTGGGCCTGGACACTGTCTTCAGCTCAAGACTAGCATTCTACCACTTGAGCCACAGTGCCACTTCCGGTTTTCTGAGTGGTATATTGGAGATAAGAGTCTCACGGAGGGCTGGGAAGGTGGCTCAGTGGTAGAGCGCTTGCCTTGCATGCTCCAGGCCCTGGGTTCGATTCCTCAGCACCACATAAGCAAAAAGAAAAAAGCCGAAAGTGGTGCTGTCACTCAAGTGGTAGAGCGCTAGCCTTGAGCTGAAGAGCTGAGGGAAAGCGCCCAGGCCCAGAGTTCAGGCCCCACGACCGGATCCCCCCCCCCAAAAAAAAAGAGTCTCACGGACATTCCTGCTTGGGCTGGCTTTGAAATGTGATCCTCAGATCTCAGCCTCCTGAGTAGCTAGGATTACAGGCGTGAGCCACTGGCACTGGCTCTGTTATTTTTATATCTGTATTGAATCAGTGTTTTCTCAGCCGTTGTGAAAACTGTCTACAGTTTTGCCATTTGAAACTTTGCCTATATGTGCACCTTAAGGAATAGGATATTGGTAATTTTGGAGTAGAACAGTATAGCTTGTTATTTTAACTAATGGCCATCTGCTTGTTTGGGAGAACACATAAACAAGGTTAAGAGTTCTCAAGTTAAGAGGTTTTCACATTCCATCCCTTTGGTCTATGAACTCTATACTCTGTTGCCATAGTTAGACTCAGCAGCTTGCATACAGTATCTTAGCAGGAAATAGGGTCTTTGTAGATGAGTTATTTGTAGATACTTCAGTACAGGCTGTTACTGATGCTGTGTCTAATTGGTCATGCCCTGCTTATTTTTAATTTAAATGATTTTAGCTGCTGGAGCATGAAATTATCTAGGATTATATTTGGGTTTCATACAGAATTTGCTGTTGCTTTGATAATGAGATGAGAACTGATACTTCCACCTAATTCACTAAGTTTTCATTTGGTTTTCAGCTTTGGGAACCCCTCGCTGGATGAGAGAAGCATTCTTGCCCCTCTCTATCAGTGTTGCATGTAAGTTATGCACAGCAAGCGCGTGTACCTGCGCTGCCTTCTTTTTCAGGTTCGCAGAATAGCAGTACGTAAGTTTTCTTGATTGTAAGTCTCTGAACAGTGCTTTTCATACTTTTGCAATCTAAAACCCTGGACATCCTGAGATCTTCTTGAACCAGGGAAAGGTAAAGTAATTCAAGGCTCAGAATTCATTTTTAATATTGTATGAATAGAAGTTCATAATCTCGTTAGTAATACATATCTGTGTTTGGTTTAATATCAAAATATAATCAACTTCCTCACATGTCCTACCCCATTGTCCTCAAAATTGAAGTAAAATTTATGTACTTATTGGCTACAGTCCTGTTTCTTTGGGGCTTTAAGTCCCTTGCCCATCACATACCTCCTATGTTTGCATATCTTTGTTTGTTTTGTTTCTTGTGCTAGTACTGGGACTTGCACCCTACCTGGGTGCTGTCTCTTTCCTCTCAAGGCAGGTACTCTTATCATTTGAGCTACAGCTTCCCTTCTGGCTTTTGGCTGGTTGGACTTTTCTGATCTGACTGGCTTAGAACCTCAATCCTCCCATCTCAGCCTGCTGAACAGATAAGATTTATGGCATGAGGGCTGGGAAGGTGGCTCAGTGGTAGAGCGCTTGCCTTGCATGCATGAGGCCCTGGATTCGATTCCTCAGCACCACATAAGCAGAAAAAGCCAGAAGTGGCGCTGTGGCTCAAGTGGTAGAGCGCTAGCCTTGAGCTTAAGAGCTGAGGGACAGTGCCCAGACCCAGAGCTCAGGCCCCATGACTGGCCAAAAAAAAAAAAAGATTTTTGGCATGAACCCCCAGCTCCCAGTATATATCTAAGTATGAAACTGTATAAACCACAAGCAGCTTTTTATAAGAATTTAATAATTGCTTTATGTCAAGAACAAAGAAAATGAGATAAAAATTGAGCTCCTGTCTCAGGTCATTAATTCTCATCTCATTTTAAAGTACTTATATCATTATGTGTCTGGTGCACACATCCACTCATACTGGACAGAATGTATTCTTTGGCTTCTATCTATAGACAGTTCTAGAACTGAGATCCTCGCATTCCTGAATCTAAGAGTGAGAAAAGTATGTAGAAAAATACATCTGACTGCCAGTAAGTGTTCAGTGTTAGCCAGAAGATGGCAGCTCTTCCTGAACAAAGGCAAGGGTTTTCCTTCCCCCTTGGCAGAAAGGCGGCTGTTGGAATCCTAGATCTATCAGTTATTTGCTATATGCCCTTGAACTAGAAACATTCATATGTGTCCTCACAGAGGATCACAGTAGCTCAGTAGCTACGTACATATTACCATATCAAATGATGCTAATCGAAATGAACTCGGAGATGTGGAAATGAGTTTTTGTTGTTGTTGTTGCTGTTTTTAATGTTTAATGTTGTTTTTAATGCGCATAAAGCTCAAAGAGGATGGACATGCAGATTTCTTACTCTAAATTAGTCTATAAATGCACAGAGCAGCAGAGTTTCCCCATGTGGACTACCTCAATCTTACTGCCTTTCATCCAAATTCACCCTTCAATATAGCTGTAATCTTCTTTTTTTTTTTCTTTGGTTTATCCCCTGTTGTCACTTTTGGATTCTGGTACCCTGTGTCTTATATATGTGTTTATCTGATTTGGGGAAGGGAAGGGGAGAAATAAAATGGTGAGACAAAGGACAAAGGGTGAACCAATGCACCAGCGATCCTCACAAGACACTGTGTTGGAAATGAACTTTACAGCATGGGGTGGGGGAGAAGTAGGAGAAAAATGAGGGAGCGGGTAACAAAAAATGTACTCTTTACCTTACTTATATAACCGTAGCCCCTCTGTATATCACCTTTATAATAAAATTAAATTTTAAAAAAGTAAAAGAAAAAACTATACCTACCAGTTTCTTTAATTGTAGGCAAAGATGACATGAAATGATATATGGAAGGTATACAAAAAATAGTGGATTGTGAAAATAAGAGAAAATTCTGTAGAAAACAAAAAGTTAAGTATGAACCAGGTGCCTGTAATCCTAGCTACTCAGGAGACTGAGATCTAAGGATCATGGTTCAAAGCCAGCCCAAGCAGGAAAGTCCAAGAGACTCTTATCTCCAATAAACCACTCCGAAAACTGGAAGTGCACTGTGGCTCAAGTGGTAGGGTGCTAGCCTTGATTTGTAAATGCTCAGGGACAGGGCTCAGGCCCAGAGTTCAAGCCCCACGAAACCAAAAAAAAAAAGTATGTACATCAAGGATCATTGCTGTTCACCTGTTAAGTATATAGAACATGAAGTTTTGAAGCATTCACATGGCAAGTGAGACTGTGGCCTTTCCTAGGACCTGGTCTGCTTTGCTTTCTCTTTTTTTTTTTTAAATGCCTTCCTCCCTTTCTCCCTTTCTTTTTTTTTAATTTTTAATTTTGCAGTATAGGGATCAACCTCATTCACGGTCTCGCACATGCTGGGTAAGTGCTGTCCCACTGAGCTAAGCTGAACGTTTTTTGTTTTTTTTTCTTGTCAGTCATGGGGCCTGGACCCTGTTCCTCAGCTCCTCGGCTCAAGGATAGTACTCTACCACTTTGAGCCACAGCACTACTTCCAGTTTTCTGGTGTTGAATTGGAGAGAAGAGTCTCAGACTTTCTTACCTGGGCTGGCTTTGAAGTGCAATCCTCAGATCTCAGCCTCCTGAGTAGCTAGGATTACAGGCGTGAGCCACCAGCACCCAACCTTTTGTTTTAATAGCAACAAAACTGTGCCAAAAGTAACATTTATGGACTACCCACACATGGCTGAACTGGTAGAACACTTGCCTAGTAAATTAGAAATTCTAAGTTCAATCATTAGTACTTCCAAAAAAAACAAAGAATTTACTCAAGTAATCCTTAATTATATTTATTGATGCTGGGAAGTAACAGTACATATAATCAAGAATTGAAAGAAGATGTATTTTGAGTTGATAATACCAGTGTGCTTTAACCAGGAAATAGAAAGACATGTGTTAAGCTGGGGGTATTTAATATTTAAAAATTATTAAATTTTAATGCAACAGTGAACATAACAAAGACGGGATGAAGGAACACGGCCTAGGAAGGAAAGACATAGAAAAGGCAAGAATTTGGGCCTCCGTGGAAAAGGGACAGTCAGCTCACTAACTAGCAGGGAAAGACTGACCTCTGGAAGGTAGGCAAGCTGCAACAACCCTCTGGAGTCCAGGTGGAGTGTAGGCAGGCCGCAGTCTGGAGAGGAAGAGGTTATTCAGTAGGAATCTTCTGGGCACCGTTACGACACTTTGGGGGCTTGCTGATTGAACTAGGGTGGGCGGATAGCCTGCAAGGCTCAGGATCCTATGTCAGGAGAGCCTCCGAGAAGTTATCACCAGTCCTAGCTGAGGCTTCAAGATTATCTTCTGGAAATTTAGATGACCTCCTTCTGTATCACCAACCCACTGTTTCAGCCAGAAGCATCCAGAGAGCCCCCTTCTTCCTGCAGTATCCCTCTACTGAGAAAACTTAAAGAAGAAAGATGCTTACAGGATTTCATCGACTTTGGGAGACGATATATTGAAGGGGGAATTTGGATGTGAGTCCACATGGGGGAAATTCTGACGCTTTGTGCTTTATAGAATTATTTAGAATAAGAAATCTGGTTACTTAGGAGGCTGAGATCTGAGGATTGTGGGTCAAAGCCAGCCAGGGCAAGGAAAGTCCTTGAGACTCTTTATCTCCAATTAACCACCAGAAAACTGGAAGTGGTGCTGTGGCTCAAGTGGTAGAGCGCTAGCCTTGAGCTGAAGAGCTGAGGGACAGCGCCCAGGCCCAGAGTTCAAACCCCATGACCAACCCCCTCCCCACCCCACCCCCCCGCAAAAAAATCTGCACGCCCATCGTTTTTGTGCTTTATGCAAGCTTCGGTCTGCCTAAGTCATTGCACAATAGGCTTCCATTTGCAATCAGACATTCCTGCCTATTTAGTAATCTCTTCATCCATACAGAGATTAAGAACTTTTCTTGTAGGAGAAATTGGCAGAGATACAGTCAAGAATCCAATGTATAGCCTACAAAATTAGGGAAAGCAAGGGAGGGTGCGCTGGGAGGGATAGGTTAGAATGTGAAAAGGGGTGACATTCATCAAGATGCATCATACTCAAAGTACTTTGTTAAATGGCATGTCCTTTGAAGATCATAACAAATAAAGCTAGGCACTACTGGTGCCTCATGCCTGTAACCCTAGATACTAAAGAGACTGAGATTTGAGGATTGCAGTTCAAAGCCAGTATGAGCAGAAAAGACTGTAAGACTCTTCAGTTACCGACTGAAAGACCAGACGTGGAACTGTGGCTCAAGTGGTAAGCCTCCAACCTTGAGTAAAAAAGCTCAGGGATGGAGACCAAGCCCTGAATTCAAGCCCCCAGACTGGCACAATGAATAAATAAATAAATCCCTATTATGGTAGGAATATAGACTTAGAAACATGAAGGAGGGAGGAAATTAAGTTCCCCGTTTACATCCAAGGGTAATGCCTGTTAACATTGTAATGTGCTTCATTCTAATCACGTAGTGTCTTTACACACACGTTTTGTTATCTCACAAATTTAAAGTGAAAGATTGGTTTCCTCTAACATTACCATGCCATACTAAATTTTCAAAACTTTTTAATGGCTGCATGATTTCTCTGAATGGATGAGCTATGATTTGTTTAACTATTCCAATTGTTGGACATTAAGATTAGTTCACATTTTTGGCTTGTTTTTTTAATTTTTTACTTGATATACAGAGGAGTTTCAACATGTCAGCTTCTGAGTAACAAGCATCTTAACCAGTATCATTCCTTAGTTCCTGTTCTTCCTTTATTGAGCATGTATGTGTATGTGTGTGTGTGTGTGTATGTATAGCTACCCATAAATCAAACCAAAACCTGATAATGTGGCTTTCTCATGCAGAGGTCATTCTGAAACAAATGGTTTTTCTAGTTTAAATATTTTATGTAATTTTTTTAAAACTTTTGTCTGCCATGTGGGCTTTAAACTCAATTTGATAGTTTTTATGTAACTTGTCTAAATCTTTTTCTTTCAGCATTCGGGTTTCTACCTGGAACAGACTGAACTACCTTAAGAATGGAGTGCTAAAGTCTGCCTTAAAATCTGCCCTGGCCCATGACCCCATCTCCCCCGTGCTGTCTGATTTTCACCTGGATGCAGTAGACCAGCGGCTCCTGAATGTCCTGGCCACCATAAAGCAGTGCACTGACCAGTTTGGGATGGACGCTGTGCTGGTAGAAGATAGGATGCCTCTCTCCCACTTGTGATTTTCAACACAAAATAAGTGAAACTTATTTTTACGAAGATAGAAAAACAGCACAATCAACTCCAAATGGCATGAGACGGCTTGCAGGTGGTGGCCAATGGCAAGTTCTGTTGGTAAAGGACAGGGTAGCGTTGGGTGTTTCTGGGGTTTTCTGTAGTAAGTAAGGCTTAAAGCAAAGACCATGACCATTAGAGCATGAGCTGTTTCTGCAGAATCAGCTGAATTTCTTAGCACTTGCCCTTTCTAACAGTGGTCAGTCTTTATAAATCCCATGCCAAAGGACAAACAGGTGTGGCATTTGGATAGGTAAATGCTGGCACTGGCTTCAGAGTGTGTGTTTTGAGGTAAACTTTGCAGACGTTCTCCACACCTGTGGATTTTGTAGAACTATTTCACAGACTCTTGTCTTTTTTGTCCCAGGGCTAGTCAAATTGGAAGGCTTACTGCCTCGTTCAGCATGGCAGCAAATTAAACCTTCATTATGTTGAGCCAAAATAGCACACTCTGTTGAAGAGATCCATTTTTAAGATAGAATTGGAAGGAAAGACAAAGAGGAACATGTTTAGGCTTTTAAACAATTGGGTATTGTAGTTTCGACTAACTCAGGGAAGGAAAGGAAAGAGACTCATCTAGTAGAATCAGAATCATCGATTGAAAACAAGTTCCCCTCTATTTCAGTTCTATGTACTCCGTGGGTAAGTAAAAGCTGCAGAGCTACAGTCGTGTCCAGATTAACCAAAATATTGTTTCTGTAGAAAATACTCTTACAACTCAAGCACGATTCCTTTTATGGAGCTTTTTTCTTTTCCACCTTTTTGCCTAAAGTAGGCAAATTCTAATTAACAAAGCAAACTTTTGATAACACCTTGAGTAAAGGTCAGGAATTATGGCAGTCTCTCCCATCCTCATTTCTCTTCTGAAGTAAATTCCCCCCCACTGCTTTTGGACATTTGGGCATGAAAGTTGCTGTGCCCAGCAGATCTGTAGTCCTGTTTTTGCCCTGTGAGATAATACAGCAGATAATACACCCCCTGCTCGATGGTAGCTCAGCTTGGGAGTTAGGCCGTTTGAAGATTAGAATAAAAGATTTCAGGCCTTCTGAGTCTTGAAATTAAAGAAGTTACCAGAAGGAGCATCCAGATTTTGATTTATTCCAAATCCTACATTCATCGTTTAGTCTCATGTTGAGTTCTGAGTTCATGAGGTAGTAATATTCTCCTCATAGTACTCTCAACTTTAGGTTGCTAAACCACAGGTTTAGCTTTGGGTTCTGCCAAGGTGGTTTTGACATGTAAGCAGCTACAGTAAATTATAGGGCCAAGGGCCAGGCCTGCATTGCCCACTCTCCAGTGCCCTCAGAACTCTTTCTCGCCCAACTAGTCTGGGTTTGTTCTGATTCTGCACTTCTGTCAGGCAGAGACCTGTAATCTAAGCAGTGTGGTTGAGGACACTAATGCCTACCATTGCTTAGCAGTTTTAGGCAGCTATATACTTTGAAAAACACCATTTGCATCTATGCCCCAAGTTTTCTCTCACCGAAACTAAGTACACTGTAACTACAGAATGAAATCATAAAACTTTCATACGGTCTGTATGCACTTTGAGGTGGATGTAAGAATGAGCTGTTTCTTTCTTTTAAGGGGATATTGAATTTTAAAAAAATACTAGCACAAAACACAGTGTTAACCAAAGGAGGCATTGATTGCAGTTTTAAGGCTGCTTGCTTACTGTGGGTGTCCAGACTAATTCTCAGTTCAGCTAGAGAATACCTTAGTCAGTGCTCACCCCAGAGCTGTAGGGAGCCCTTGGTAGGAGACAGCAGAACATTAGTCAGCTCTGCTCTAAGTAACTTCTGATTGAACTAAACTATGGTTTAGTGTCTTTTCAGACATGTTGCCTTTAGTATGCCACACAAAGAACCACCATTCTCAAACTGGGAACCTCTTTCCTAATGTGGAAGCAGAAGATTCTGCTGAGGAAAAACATAGGATGGAAAGCTGCTTTGAAAAAACATCTTGGGGCTGGGAAGGTGGCTCAGTGGTAGAGCGCTTGCCTTGCATGCATGAGGCCCTGGGTTCAATTCCTCAGCACCACATAAGCAAAAAGA